ATTACATCACACAGGTTTTTAAATTAGGAGGTATCACTGGCTTCAACCATATCAAGATACTGTAGTACACCGTGTTCTACATCAAGTACATGCACAGTGACATAGAGTTCGCTGTTAAGAATAATCCACTCTATATGTGCTCATATTCTATTCCCAAATCTTTTTCATGTACAGAATGAAGATTATTATGTTTTATCCTGACAGAAGAAATGTCCTAATTAGATAAATTGCTTTGGGAAACCATTAGCCTTAACAAGTAACAGGCAGGTATTAGAGTTTAACAAGCACATACATGAATAATCGAAAATAATCCTAACAACTTGAAATAGAAAAAAGGAATATGAAGAAAATCTGCCAGAAAGATTGTTTTTTTTTTTTGCTGGAAAGAATATATTGAAAATAATTAATTACATTGACATCGAAAAGAACACAAAATTGAAGTGAACATTTGAAAGATTTTCCCCGGAAAATGTGGAAAGTAAAAAAATTTTTAAATGGCTCTTTTTCTCAACCAATAATCTTTTAGCAACAAAGGTAAAAAAAAATGTAGAGGTTTCACAACTAAATCTGTAAGACTGACCCTCTAACCTTCATAAAGGCTACAGATTAGAAAACAAAAATGGAGCTAAAAGAGCTTTTAACTCCTATTACTATTCATTAATTACACATAAAATGCATGCTGTCCTAAACATTGTGAAACTGACTGCAAACAAGTAGCGACAACAGTGTAAACTTTAGTACGTTAAACAAGCATATTTGCTACTCATGACCAATATACTGCCTGTCTCTTCTGTTTAAACAGTCACTTCATCATCAAACTTCAGGAAAAATAAGTACACCGCAATGTGAGCATTGGTTATTCAAATGGGACTCTCAGGTGACACAGAGAGAAATGTAAACAGCTCGCTGCCAAATGTGGCACATGTAAAACTAATTATAACACACCTTTTGTTTGCACACACCTGCAGATTACTGCTCAGTTCAAGCTTGGATGTCTGTGTTTCTATAGCTGTCTAAATGTCAGAGCATGTTTGAAGGAAATAACCATGAAAAACAAAATAGGCTTTATTCTGTCTGAACTCCATAACCTTACATTTAACATGGACTAATGCCTATTTAATTACTTTATCCTTCAAAAGACTGATATTGATAATCAAATTTGCGTAATTACAGATCATTAAGAAATAAGACGATAACAGAAAATATGGCATAATTATGAAATGATTTCCACATCAGCAGTTTCTCTGAAATTTTAAAGAATTATAAAAGTTTTGTCTCTGTTGAATGAGAGACAAAACAATATTTATTGCATTGACATTTTTGTAACTAATTATTGCAATAATTGTAGTTTACTTTGATTTTTATATGAAAATATATATATTTTTGGCTTTCTAACAGAGTAAAATCCTGTCAAATTACACGAGTAGAAAAGAAAATTCTTAAAAAAAAAAAGTTATATATTAGATACATTTATTTTAAGCCTACAATTATTTGTAATACAGTTGTTATAACTAATAATGCAAAGAATGTTAGATATGCTCACTATGTGAATATGTGGAGTTTGTTATGAATAAGGGCAAAGGTTATTTTACCTGAACAATTGCTGTCAATCAGGAGGTGCAAAATAAGTCTTTAAAAACACCATATGTAGATGTTTAGGTCCCTCCCAGAGTGGTCAAACTTTTCTGTCAGCTAAACATGTCTCAATCAGTCACTCTGTGCATTAATATATTAAAACATTTGTGAAACACAACTGAAAACATATATATTATATTTTAATTATATAATTTTAAAATAAAGCAGTAAAGTTGAAATTCCAACAGACCCATAATTTATAAGAAAAGGTTTGTATACTTTTTAAGGCCCTATATTTCTGTTGCGCCAAAATTATGTGTAAACTAGGATGTTCTAAGTGTTTAAAAAGTCAAAATTAAAATTCACCCAGTATTTAAAAATGGCTGTTTTTAGTTCATTTATTTGGATTGTCAATGGACAAAACAAGATTTTGGAAGAAGAATAAGGAAGTCAATACATCATAGTACCTGAATGTGCTATTGTTCAACAAAACCATAAAAAAAAAAAAAACTCTAAAAAAAAAAAAACCCTCTGAACTTTGAATAAAATGTCATGCCATTGACTTTCCGGAGCCTTTTTTACGGCACGTTTCAAGGTGAGTGGAAGCCACAACCACTAATCCTTTCACTGACAAATGACTGCGGCCTAGCCCTTTCCTGGCTCTCTGAATCTGAAGAAGCCGGTGGCTTCAACCACGAAGTTGATTGGATTTGTTTACATTGGCAGAAATTTACATTTTGGAACCCTGTGTGCATCCTTTCTGTAGATACAAAAGAAAAAACAGAATTGTAAAGGAGGGGAAGTTATGATCCAAACCTAAATGAGCACTGCTTATAGATCTGTGAGCATAATCAAATGAGGTAGGAAAAGCCTTTGCCTTCCTGGGTCATCATAGAGTCATTCCTCATCCGGAATGTACATTTGAGAAGCTTCATAATTCATGTGTGTTTTGAATTTTATTCAATGATGAAAATCTAGCTGACTAAATATCTGCTACACTCTTTTTTTTTTTTTAACTCTTGCTGTAAAAATAAAAAATAAAACTTAGACAAACGTAATCGTCATTTTGTATACACAGAGTGTACAGCTTTCATGAAATTTCCATTTCTTAAGGTGCAGCAGTGATCAAATGTAAACGTTGGGTGAAAAAAAAGTATGATGCAAAGAAAAAACAACAAAAAAACTCATTAATATGGTCAATTTGTTGAAGAGACTGCGGTATGATTTAGTTTTTTAAACATTCAGGCTTTTTTTTTCTTTCATTTTTTTTCCAGCTTCTCAATGGGATACGAATGATAAATTAAATTATTTCCTTCCCTTAATGTTTTGCATGAAGGGCAATTTTCAGAGTGAATGACAAGAATTTGAATGTTTCTTCCTTTTAACATACCTATAATATATGAATGAGTTACACTTGATGTTAAAATAGTAATCTGCAATAAAAACAACAATATTTATATGACTGTTGAGGTTTAATAAACAAATTTCTAGTGAAAACAGCTTTATCTTTTCATAATTAAACCATAACATAGTTTCTGATGTCAAAATGATGCAAATAAAGCTTTGGTAAACTTGTCTGTCATTTGCATACCGAGCCTCTGAAATTCCACAATGCTATAATCCGACTTACTAAGTTAGACTATGTAAATAAATCGAACAGCGGCCAGCTCTTGTTTGTTTTGGACTCATATGCATGTTATTGATAGAAGTTTGGGAATAGCATTCTCCAGAGTTGCACGCAGTTTTCATAGTGGCAACTTTTGATCAGTGCTGCCATCTAGTGTCCATTCAACATACTGTTTACAGAAACTAAAATGGCCAATTTTTCAGCTTTGAGACTATCCCTAAATATATCCATAAATAAAACCTAATGTTTTAACAGTAGGTGTAATGATCTGTGATGATGGCCTATACCTAATGAAAACTCTAATTTAATAAAATGACAAATTTTATTTGACATTGAATTTGATTTTATTTCTCTTGAGGATATTTAATTTCCCTAATATAAAGAAGTCTCAGTACTGAAAATTATATCAATGTTTGTACAGTAAATGTAGTGAATACTTGGTCAAAGCTCTTTTTGCATGAATTTCTTCATGCATGCAATATGGCCTGGTTGAGGTGTGTGTTTGGCTGTAGTGCCTTGTCAATAAAGTGCAGGTTGCTTAGATTGTCGCTTTTAGCTCAGATGCATTGTTAACTCATTACAGATTTCCATAGTTTCTCTACAGACTTTTGGCCATTTTGATGATCAGGCAAATACAGTGATGCCAAGGTCAATAAACCGAGTATTAATAAGTCTGACAGAGAGCTGGAGCACACAAATAATATAAGCATTACCAAGTGCTAAAACAAAACAAAAGATGAGAGTGAGCAATCGGTCCTGTTTCTTATTAGCAAAGCTAAGACATATCAGACGTCACAGGTTGAAGTCTCAGTTTGAATCTGTTTCCTTGAGCTGCAGTTTATTTATTTTCCCAAATTTTGAATGAGCTTTCCTACCTAGTTGTCTCAAGATTTCAGTTTCAGTTTGCTCACAATAACACATGATTTGTCTGTTATTGTGAGTGATGTTAGAACTGTAAAGTGTGTTTTGGTGTAACTATGAACCCCTTTTTGTGAAAGGTTTGTACATTTTACAGCTTTTTAACTGTGCACTCTGTTTAACGGTGGAAATAGTCCTTTGGCTCTAATCCGGCAAACATATGGGTTCATTAACGTGCACTATCCCAATCAAATAAGTATATCATTAATTAAATAAATAATTTTCTTTCACTCTTCCATTCATGTTTGGCCTCCTGTAAAAAGCTTACCTCTTTAAGTCATTTATTTTTTGTGGCTTACTCTTTGCAGAGTTCCAGAGAGAGTCAACTGAATAACAAGTAAATAAAAAAGGCATAGCATAATTTTTTTTTTTTATAATTTTTTTTTTTTTTTTTTTTTGTCTTATCATACTTCAAAACTTAATTTGGATTTTTGCTATTATCGTTTACCCTTTATATAGTCCATTATAAGAAATAAAAATATAATGACATCTGCTGGTGCAGATTCACAGTCATCCAGGTCACAGTCGTTCCAAAAAAGTTAGAAACAAAGCCACCTTAAAAAAAAAAATGAAAAAAAAAGTCCAGAGGTTATGTTTTTTTTTTTTTTTTTTACTTTTTTGGGTAAGGACTTAATGAGAATGGAATTTCGGATTCTCATAAGCCGTGAACACGAATTTACCAAATTAGGAGAAATGTTAGAATCCCCTTCAGAGCCAAACGATTCGAATCTTTAAGATTGAACTGAAAAAAATAGACCCGACTCTCGTAAAAGAATCGCAGTTTTTTATACCAATAGGCACACGCCCATCAACAAAATAAAAAGACTGACGGTTATTAAGCCAATGACAATCGCTGTAAGGCGGGACTTCCGGTAACATTTGCCAATCAATGTTGGCGATACGAGACGACAGCAAATTGAGTATGACAGCTAAACAACAACATGGAGGAGGGAGCGAACTTCTAGACAGCCGTCATATTTTGGAGGAAACGTTACAATAATTCATTTTTCCTGTGTGCAGTTTCGAACCAATCGAAAGGTAAAACGAACTATCTCATTCTGTTTGAGATATTTATGCTTTTCTACAAAACTCTGCATGCTGTAAACTGTCCAAACTTTGTGACATGGAACACATCACAAGATAGGAGTCCGACACGACAGCTAGCGGGCTAAGCTAATTAGCAGTTAGCTTAAGTTCTCTACCGTGCGAGCCAAACAAACACCATTAAAACGCCTCAGTAATAGCTTTATGATACCCAGGCTTTCTTAACGCCACGTTTCATTTTCAATAAGTCACCCAGAGTAGTAGGATAAAGCTGACAAAAGCTGAGCTTTCATCTTGACTTAGATTTTCGTCTGTACATGATGGCCACCAGTGCTTTAGGGGAAGCCATGATGATCCAATCAGAGTAGCTTCTTCATGGTGATAGTTAGCCAGCTAACGGTCGCGTAACTGTACAGGAATTTCTATGGGTGCAATGTAAGAAGGTAATGTTGTTATACTTTGGCGATTGTTTACATACGGTGGCAAATCAGCTGGACGGAGTGCAAATTTTCTATTCTGCATTCAGCGTTTTCTATTTATTTCGATAGTCGATGTTTAAATGTGTCATACAGGCAGATTTTTATAAGCAAGTCGATGTTGATATGAAAGATAAAGGACATCTTTGTTTATCAAAGTACTATAGAAGTGATCTAATCTCAACAAGTAAATAAAAGATTTTACTTTAGTTACTAAAATAAGTAAACAAATAACCAACTCCACGCTGTCATTTATTGGAAATATGAAGAAGCTGTGCTGGAAAATAAACAGAACCCTGTTTAGATTCTTTTCAAATATATGATAGGGAGAATTTAGGAGTAACAGTTTATGATTAGATGCCCCTTAATTGCTGATGCTGATTGTAATGAATCACCTCTAGAAAAGAGGAATTTTTTTCAAGTGCTGCATTGTAACATATAAGTATGTTCATAAAATGCCAAGTCTGACAGTTTCCTCTCTGTAGCAAATTAACTTTCTAATCTTAAATGTATCATGCTAATTAAGAAAGAATGTTATTTACCATGGGCTGCTCAGTGCAGCAGTGGGCAGCAGTGCCGCCAGGCAGCAAGAAGATCCTGGTTCGATTCCTGGCCCGGCTCTTTCTGCATGGAGTTTGCATGTTCTCCCTGTGCATGCGTGGGTTCTCTCCGGGTACTCCGGCTTCCTCCCACAGTCTAAAAACATGACTGTTAGGTTAACTGGCTTCTCTAAATTCTACTTAGGTGTAAATGCATGCGTGAATGGTTGTTTGTCCTGTTTGTCTCTGTGTTGCCCTGCAATGGACTGGTGACCTGTCCAGGGTGCTTCTCGCCTGTAGACAGCTGGAGATAGGCACCAGCACCCCTCGCGACCCCAGTAGGGATAAGTGTGACAGAAAATGGATGGATGGATGTTATTTACCATTGAAATGTATCTTTAGAGATTTGTAGAGAATCTACAATAAATGTTATTGATTTAAAAATGTATAAAGAAACCAAGTTATGTGTGATAATAGTTCTATACTTTAAAAGGGTTCATATAGTGTCAGTTTAAATTAAGATTGTAAACTGATTGTTTTTCTTTTTTTTTCCTTTTGTTTTCTTTGCCTGTTGTGATTTTACCTGAATAAATACCCAATGATTGCTGTTTTTCCCCTTTTAGTGGACTGGTGTCCTGGCATTTCGGTAGATGTCCACGCCTTCAGACACGTCAGGTGGCATGTCCCATCCTGGCCCATCACCAGGGGCAGGCCTGTCCCCAGGGCCCATCTTGGGCCCCAGCCCTGGACCGGATCCCTCCCCTGGTTCAGTTCACAGCATGATGGGGCCCAGTCCTGGACCAGGAACACCCAACGCACCCCATGGCATGCAGAGCCAGGGACAAGGCGATTACTCTCAGGACAACATGTATCCTATGCATAAGGTACGTTGTCAGTTCCGCTGTTTGATAGAGGAGGCCGAATACTGATGTGGACATAAGCTTTTCTCTGCTGATGTGGGAAACACTTATTTTCAGATTACCAAAAATCCAAGACATCTGGATACAATTTAGAGTTTTCCAAAGAATTCAAAGTTGTTTCTGTTCTAAAGTAAAATTTCTGATCATCTCATCATCCTGTATCATTTGCTCACTCCTGGTTTATATGCTTTTATAAGTGAAATATTAAGTGGCAGCCGGTAGGACAGGGTTTTGAAAGTCGCTAGCTGGAGTTTAAACGGTTTAAAGCAACAGTGCATAACACCGGGCAAATATTAACTTAATTTGATATACATTCAGTAATTATTCAGGTCAGTATACAGCACTTGGTCTGTACAAATTGCTCTGCATGGCCTGCCTTTCCCAGACGATCACATAGTGTGATGAGTGGATTGAATTCTAAAAACCTGACAGCAAATCCCAGAGCACCGTTTTGTGGCAGTCTGAGCCCCTCTTAAATATGAGAGCTAAGTTAAAAATTTTTGTTGGGTAACAAAACAGATACAACACATTTCGGATCAGACAAATTTTGGTTTGCCTGGCTGTAAACTAGAGGTTGAATATGCTCTTGTCTTTGCAAGTACAGACAAGGGATTTTTCTGTGGATTGCTGAATGCAAGTAGATCAGTTTTTTGCTAAGCTATTAGTTCCTCTCTCTTTTTTTTTCAGCCCATGGAGGCAGCAATGAATGACAAAACTATGTCTGAGGCGATGCATTTCAGCCACATGAAAGGTGTGGGCATGAGGTCCCTCCACAGCGGCATGGGACCTCCACAGAGCCCTATGGACCAGCATAGCCAAGGTAAAGTTTCTCAATTTTTCTACAGAAAGCAAAAATATTTCTTAGTTTTTGTAGCTTTGAGTATATAATTCAAATATAGTCTCATCTGAATCTTTAAATTCTTTAAAAACTAAATTAAAACTCCAAACTGAGGTAGCACAGACTGTTATATTTAATACTTATCATTAAAGAACAAATATGATCTGATTGACAGAAATCTACAGAGCTTTAGAAAAGTATTCACGCCCTTTGAACCTTGTGGAGCTTCGTTGATAATGGTTCCCAGTATTTTTGATAGCTAAAAATCTGAAGACTGGCATCCATTGTTATTCATCCCCTTTAATTTGATGCTATAAAACATTGTGCAACCTATTAGCTTCAGGGAATTAGTGGATAAAGTCACCCTTGTGTTATTTCATTTTGGTATAAATCCTACTGCTCTGTAAAAGACTCAGGTTTTTCAAGAAAAAAGCCTTATTAAGACTTAATAATGCATCAGAAATGTCAGAGGGAATTAAAGGGGTTTGAAGCAGATTGAGGTTGTTAAAAAATATCCTAATATATCACCCCAGAATCACGTAGTAGCAAAATTATGAGTTGGTAACATTCAAGACAGTCACAGCAGTCTATTAGTTAGTTACAACAGATTGCATTAATTCCTAATGTATTTAACACCTAGGTAAGAAGCACTGCTTTGATTTGAATCACAAGATTTTAGAAACATTAAAGCTAGTATGTTTTCTGTTATGTTGAATAGGTTACATGTCTCCACATCCGTCCCCGATGGGAATCCATGAGCATGCTTCCAGTCCCATGTCAGGAGGTGGAGGTGGTCCTACACCGCCCCACATTCCTCCATCTCAGTCAGGCCCCATGATGCCCATGGATCCTCAAGGAGGGATGCCCAACATGTCTGCAATGGGCCCACAAGGACGTGGCCCCTCTGCTTTCAGCCCAGTGCAGCTGCAGCAGCTCAGAGCCCAGATTCTGGCCTATAAGATTCTGGCCCGAGGGCAGCCGCTGCCAGACAACCTCCAGCTGGCCGTTCAGGGCAAAAGGAGTCTCCCCACAATGCAGCAGCAACAGCCGGTGCCACAGCAGCAGCAACAACAACAGCAGCAGCAGCAACCACCGCAGCAGCAGCAGGCATCTGGTGCCAGCCCATACAGGCCTTCAGGTGGGAAGATTAAATTTATTATATCAACAACTGAAAGAGTAAACATTTGGGTAACTGTGTTTTAACAACTAGTGGTTCTTCTTTTTTTCTTTTTTACATTGCTATTGTTCAAGTTTCTGCTGACATTACATTCTAGCTGGACAAAATCTTCAATAATTTAGTAAACAGTATTTTTTTATAGATTTTTGGTGAATGAAACATTGAACAAAGGGTCTAAATTGAGATTGTTTATCATGTCGCAGGAAAATTATGGATATCATCTCTCATTTTTTGAGCTATTGTACAATAGAATTTTTAAGATTTAAAATTAATTCATGTCAAGATCACGTTGTCCTCTAATTGCTTCTTAATCCTCATGACCCAAAATATTTAAAATTGGAGATTTAAATGTACTGTATAAAAAACACACACTACTCACACCCCCATTAAGTCGAAGTGAACATCTCCTGATTTCGATCAGCTGTGATTAGCACAATAATTTATTTGTTTAGTGCCTGATTAATTAATAGATATTTTATACTTCAATTCAGAGGATTAAACTGTCCTTTATTGTTCAGCAGTGCTGTCTTTACCTTGTATTAGCTGTTACTACACACATACGCTTAGTTGGTTGTGTGTTTAGACAGTTTGAGAAAATAGATAAACCGTGATTCTTGCTGATTATTTCCAGATGTCTTAAGGCAACATGTTTATTTGTATGGTTTTTGCTTATATATAGCGTAAATGATATTGATTTATATAATGAAAACATTATATAAAAATGTGCACCCCTTACATAGTCACAAAGTGGCCCCGTAAAGTGACTGTCTTAAACCTGACTTACAGTATGCGTGATGCGTCTGTCTAATCTGCACGGCTAAATTACGGGATTTAAGATTAGGGGTGTGGGAAAAAATAAATTAGGCAATATTTTGGGATTTTTGGCCTTAAAGGTGGCATGTCTAAAACTAATACAATGAGGGAAAATGGGCTACCTCTGTACCGTCACTCTGCAAGATAGTGCTGTGGAGTCCTTTTGCTGTGCATCCCCAAACAACATGATTACATTAATTAACTAAATTATCAATATCTTCTGATGATTATATACATCACTTGATTTTTAAACTAAACATTTAATTTGATACCTGGGAAAATATTTCAATATATATTGATATTCTAGTATTGTGACCCAAGTATTGTTACAAGTATCATATCGCAACACCCATGCCAATACTCCCCACTATTTAAGATCCAACGCCACTCAGGAAAGTTTCTAACCAGATGGCCAGCTGGTGGAAAAGCAAGAGCTCCCACCTTCTAGGGATATCTTGTGATTTAACCCATAAATATCACTACGATAAACAGATTGTAAAAAAACTCTTGGAAAGAAATTAGTGTCACTCTTGGGTAACAAGAAAATGCTTTCACAAAAGTTGAAAACACCTCCTCATGTAGTAAACTTGAGGAGTAAGTAAAGTGCTGGCTATCCTCCCTTAGCAATGTGTCGCAGTGAACTTGTTGCAGATATTTTTGATTTATGCCCAATATTGAAGCGTGGTCTGCATTATGTTATTCCACGCCACAACGTAAGAGGGAAAATCACAAACTAGCTGTGGATCTAGATATGGCCGAGGTGGTGAGTAAGTGGGGGCAAGTTTGTTCGACAACGGACATGAGGGCCAAAAAGAGCAGGGATCCAGGTGGAAAAAGGGTCCCAGCGTTCTCACACACCTCGCTATTCTAGCTGGTCCAACTTCACGAGTTGTTTGCCACAATGGCGGTCAAACAAACAAAACAAGACGATAAGGTACCAAACAGGAAATACGCATAGAGTAGAGTGGCTGTAGATTTGACCAATCAGGGGCTTCCTGCCTGCAGCACTGTCAGTGGTAACCTACAATTTCGGAGAGGTGCAGCAGAGTGTCTGCGAAAGGGGCGCATTTGTGTTAACTTCAACACACACGCAGATGACCTGTTTTCTGAGTATAAATCAGCCTTAATTGTTGAAAGCTTGTGGTTTGTTCTTGACATGTCCTGTAGACCCTACTAGAATATTAGGTACAAGTAAAATAGCCACACAGAATATAAAAGCTGGGGATGTTGTGTCCACACATCGCATTTTCCACCCTGAACGTACGTAGATCAAGCATAAATCAAGCTTTCTTCCACCCAACTTCATATATTAGAAGGGAAAGTCTGTGAGGCAGATCAAGTATATGTCAAGTCTCATTAGTTACTTTTATGTTGCTTAAAGGTATGGCGCCTATGAGCGGCCCCCAATCAAGCCCCTGCCCAACACCAGCCATGCAAGGACACAATCAAAGCACAGCAGCCAAGCCTTGGACTGATGGTGAGTCCCCTCAGGCTTTCACACACTCTTGGATCAATTGTCAGGTTTTGTTTCTTCCAAACTGACCTGTTTGACTGAATATATTGACGAAGCTCAGAGATCGATTGAAGTTTTAGATCTGAACTCAGACATGGCAGTAACTACAAAGGTCTGTTTTTACATAAGGAGGACATGTGAATCGTAAATAGTAAAACTGTAGCTCAAATAGTTGTGGTTCATTTTCTATAAATCTTTCAGTGATTTGGTTTTAGACAGTGTTTTTCTATAGCTTTTAGTCTGTTTAAGCTCCATAACTTTAGGGTTTCCTCTTGGTTTGTTTTGTACATTTAAAGAAATTTCGATTATAAATTTGTAATCTAAGAAGCAGGTAAATAAAAAAATAGTAATAAAAAGGAATTACTGTTACTTTTTGTGGTCAAGAAATTTCTTATTCTGGATAAATACTTATGGTAAAGAAATAGGTCACTAAGCTCCTTTTTTTTTTTTTGTAGGTCAAGGTGGTGACAATCAAGCAAACGCACAGAAGCACCTCACTCCGGTACCCAGTGGCCGCCCATCTCCTGCACCCCCGCCGATCCCTGCAGGACCGTTGCCAGGGAGTTCAGCAGCTGCTCACCCTCCGGGTCAGCAGGTGTCCCCCATGCTCCAAATGCAGCAGAAGCAGAACCGAATTACTCCGGTCCAGAAGCCTCAGGGTTTGGACCCAGTGGGAATCCTGCAGGAGAGAGAGTACAGGTAGAGTTTAAAGGCTGCTGTCACACATTTGCTTAGACTTTCTTGGAAGATAAATATAATAAGCTCTGCAGTGTTCTTTTTTTCTTTTTTTTCTTTTTTGCGATTCACTCTTGATTGATGGTTATATTTGCTTTAACTTCTCTAACTCTTTATTTTATATCTGAGTAGTTTTCTCCCTGTGTTTATCTCATTAAAAGTCTCAACATAAAAAAAGCCTTTAAAAATAATGAAAACCACAGCATTGATTAAAAGTGCTTCATAGGAGTTTTTAATTAGAACTTATTAAGGCCAAAGTTCTTCTGAGATCCAAATCAAGGAACCAAATAAGCTTTAAAGATATTTTTTAAGTTTGACATGTTAAAACATCTCTGCTTTTTTAGCATTTACTCCATCAATTCCCAGTGATTTATGTGTGTTTACCTGTGCAGATAGACGCTGGTCCTGACAGAAGGAACACAAGGGCTTAGAAAGATCCACCAGGGCAGAATCAAACATGGTGGCCTTTTAAATGTGGAAACGGAGAATACGGCGGATATTTGTATTAAGGATGTGTTCCGTAGTTTCCATGTTAACTGTTTTTTGTGAAAATTATTTATAAACCCATGAAAGGATATCAAAGAAATTGTTACCAAAGGTGTGCCTCATGCCAAGGAACAATTCATAAACATTTTAGTAATGATCCAGATCATTTGTGAGTTTAAGCTATAGGTGTAAGTCACAATATGGGACAAAATGTGCTGCTTGGTGGAGGTCTGCGCTCCCAAGGGCTTTTCTTAGATGTATTTTATTTTCCTGTTTTTGATTGTATGCCTGGGAAAATTTTAAATCAAATTATGAAGCATAGTTGCTGAAGGTGTCTATTATCATGATTCCCTCAGGGTTAATGTGGAGTCTGCAATATTTTAACAAGGTGTGCTACTGATGTCTTTCAGACTGCAGGCTCGGATTGCTCATCGCATCCAGGAACTGGAGAGTCTACCCGGTTCCTTGCCTCCGGACCTTAGAACTAAAGCTACAGTGGAGCTCAAAGCTCTACGTCTGCTCAACTTCCAGCGCCAGGTACTCTGCCACTGAGATAATTGTTGCAACTACATGGATGTAAAGCTGATCCTAAAAGGGGATTATTTTGGAGTGAAGGTCCGGAAGCTGTAATCTGACAGGAATCTTCTTTAAGGAACCTTTTGCTCTCCGATTATTAAACAAGTTATTAAACAAAATAATCAACAGAATAATCGATTAGCAAATTAATTGTTAGTTGCAGCCCTACTAAGCTGTAGTTCTGTGAAGACTATAAATTAACTCTGTCTTTCCATTTCACATCTGTTACCAACAGGAAAACAAACATAGTAAAAAAAAGATTTAAAATGCTACAAAATTGTTTCCTGTTTTTAATGAAACCCGATTGAACGTCCAGCTCAGGCAGGATGTGGTGGCGTGTATGAGGCGAGACACGACCCTGGAGACGGCCCTCAACTCGAAGGCTTACAGGCGCAGCAAGCGGCAGACGCTGAGGGAGGCGCGCATGACAGAGAAGCTGGAGAAGCAGCAGAAACTGGAGCAAGAGAAGAAGCGCCGACAAAAACATCAGGTAAGTCATCATGAAACAGCCTTCTGAAGTTTGATTCTAACCGTAAGATATTTATCCAGTGTGAGATGTGGGATTTAACTTTATCCCTTGTTTTACAGGAATACCTCAACAGTATTCTTCAGCATGCCAAGGACTTTAAGGAATACCACCGCTCAGTGTCCGGGAAAACCCAGAAACTCACCAGAGCTGTCGCCAACTGGCACACAAACACCGAACGGGAGCAGAAGAAGGAAACTGAGAGAATTGAGAAGGAGAGAATGAGAAGACTGATGGTAAGAGATGTGCCTTCCATCAGGCACCAATGAGGTTATGTTTGGTTCTTTCCTGTCATTGATATCAGTATTTGACTAATACAAAGTTGTACCCATCTGTGCAAGAATTGAGTGTGTTTTGAGGTTGTGCTAACTGTGACCCTCTGAGTTTAATCCATCAGGACTCTAGAGCTGCACTCAGCTCCTGAGCTCTTCCACAATTACCCTCCTGTCACTGTTTTGTCCAGGCAGAGGATGAGGAAGGCTACCGGAAACTCATTGACCAGAAGAAGGACAAACGTCTGGCCTATTTGCTGCAACAGACGGATGAATATGTGGCCAACCTCACATCTCTGGTGTATGAGCACAAAGCTGCTCAGGCTGCCAAGGAGAAGAAGAGGAGGAAGAAGAAAAAGAAGGTAGGAAGAGATTTTTTTGTTGTTTTCTTTTTAAGGTTTAGTATGTTTTAGCAACCTGTTTCAGTTTGAATCCTGTGAAGCATTCAGAGTGTTTATTAGTTAACACAGAGCATCATGAAAACCAAAAATCACAGCAATGTGGTCAGAAAAGAAGTTTGGAAAGGTTCAAACAGGATCAGGTTATAAATAAAACAACAACCCTGCTTTGAACAGGTCAAAGGTCGCTCTCCGATTTCATTGGAGAAAGGGGTATGAGGCAACTGAAAACCTACCAAGAAAATGAAAACACTCTGATTAGCTTGTAAAGGTCTGTGATAACTTTGGAGAAGCTGCAGTGATCCACATCTCTCCCATAGGAGTCTGTAGGTGGTACGACCATTCTGGGCCTTTGCTATAGAATGACCAGAACAAAGGCGTCGTTGATAGAAAGATAAAGTGTCCAGTTTACAGTTCAGCAGGTTTACATCTGCTGTAGAAAGAGGGTACTATGTCGTACATGGCGCTGCTTTCACAGCACGTAACCTTGAACAAACCACATAATATTACATAAAATTCCTATAGACCTAAAGATAAACCGATATAGGTTTTTCTTTTCAGCTAATGATTATTTTGCTATCAGTCTAACCAATCCCCAATATGTGCTGCTGAAATTTTTGGGCTGATTCTTAGAGCTGCTGTTTTTTTTCCTTGTCCATTTACGTGATAAAAATGACAACATGATTACACAAGTTAAAGAAGTTTCAATTTAAACAAAAAAGGAAAAAAATCTTAACGATCGATGGCAAATTTAGGAAGTAGAGATGCATTTTCTTTATCTGATCTTAAGACAGCTAAATAGTTTTGTGCGATAAGACCCTCAGTCTGGAGCCACTAAGTTATAGGGATAATATAGCTTTGTTTATGTATTCTTTTACTATTTTTGTAACAAAATCGTTTTTTTTTATAGGATCGGGTTAAAATTCAGCTCCTGAAAACCTTTTGTGAGACTAATGTTTGTTAGCACTACCATAAGCTTTAAAATGTTGTCTTTTTGTCTATTTCATCTCTAGAAGGTGGAAGGAGACGGCGAAGGCACCAGCGCCATTGGACCCGATGGAGAGGTTAGTTACAGATTTAAAGAGGAGATATTTTTATTTAGTTGTGTGTATTAGTTTTTTGTCATTTACCACTGAGCAGAATGTGCAGCTTTGCTTTGCCCTTCAGAACAGAGTAAACATATTTAGAGTGACCTTTAACCTTTTATGTTCCTCTCACCTGTAACCAAGATGTAAACGATCCATAAGCTTTACTTGATGCATTGATAACAAGGTTAAATACCTGTAGATTTTTTACGGCGCATCTAGCAGCTACATGCAGTGTTTCTTGGAGCTGTGATGGCATCAATTTGATTGAGTAGCTTTAATCCAGCTCCAAAGAAAGAAGAGATTTTTCAAGTTACTGAATAAATAACTGAAACTTCAGTTCCAAGTTTCAGTTTCCTGTTTGATCTCCTATCAGTTGGAAAGTCCATTTAACAAACACAAACATCAGTAAATAAATCAACCTACCACACAACTTGCTATTAACAAGCTTCACCAATCCCCATCAAATCTAAATAACTGCAATTTTTCAGTGAGTGGTGTGAATACTTTTCTTTAAATTCTTCTTATACAGTTATTTTTATTTTTATTTTTTTCATTTACAAAAGTATCCTGAATGCGATACTTGAAATAATTGCTATCAGCTGCCTTTATTATCAGTTGATTTTAGGCTGTTTAATCATATCCAGATAAAGAAAAATGGCAGGTATTTGTAAAAGATTTTTGTTCTGCTAAATCATCTTGTATCCTAACTGTCCTGCAGCCCATGGATGAGAGCAGCCAAATGAGCGAGCTGCCAGTTAAAGTGATTCAGACGTCGACTGGGAAGGTTCTACAGGGGACAGATGCCCCGACGTCTGGCCAGCTGGAGGCTTGGCTGGAGATGAACCCTGGGTGAGAAAACATAGCGTTACTCATAGTTGCTATCAGCTACAGAAGCATTGCTGTTTTTGTTATTGGGGTTATTCATCCTTTATCTACTAAATGTACATGTTAACAGACATTTATATGGAAATGGGTGTAAACAGGAGGCAGTATTACTGTTAACAAGCACAAAATGGTGCATCTGTGTTGTTTTAGTTTGTTTTGTTACCACTGCCATTAATCACAAGCAGACATTAAGCAGATTTCCCATTCATGAAAAGCCTGGACCAAGATTTTCTTAATCGCTTTCCAAGTCTGTGTTGGAAGTGAAAAATGGATAATAGAAAAAAGTTGCTATTTCCAGACTTTATTCCTTATTTGAGACACATTTGAAAAGGAGAGTTTTACCTGCTCAGGTTAATGTTATTAGAATCTGTTTTTTAGCACACTTTAATCGAAAGAATTCAAAATATTAATTTCTTCCCTTCTTTTCCCATTCTCCATTTTTTCATTATTAGACATTATTTTTGCACTGTGAACTGTGTAGATGATACAGATGTTGAAACAAATGTTTCAAAATGATGCTGTATTTAAATCTATTGACTAATATTAAATCAAGTGGAGACATCGGAAAAAGCAAGTGTACAGATACTGTGAGGATGTTGGCTATAATCCTTCATCTGATGATGCTGTGCAGAATATTATCTTTTCTGCTATCAAAAGACACACAGTGTTTAACTCTAACCTCTTCACTGAGGTGCGGTGACAGGCAAATCTATTTCCTGGAGATGAACCAAGTTCCTTTTTTTAGTTTTGGTTTCTGAAATCCTTGTTCAGAGAGATATCTAATTATAGAAACTAATCATTTCTCTTGTAGGTATGAAGTCGCCCCACGTTCAGACAGTGAGGAAAGTGGCTCCGAATTCGAGGAGGAGGTTGGTGACCTTTATTTTTGTGATATTCATTCCTCCATAAGGTTCTGCATGTCTCCAAATCAACCACCCGCTGTTTTAAAGAGAAATATTCTTATTCAGATGTGGACAGGCTGCTCCAGCAGGGGGCTCTAGCTGCAAACTTTTCACAGTCTTAATTCTGCCTGATGTGAGTGTTTAATGCGATTTAGTCTTTTTGTTTTGATCTGCTTTCAATTTCACCTGATAAGGATGAAGAGGAAATGGGCAAGGCGGAAACGGAGGAGAAGAAGAAAACCGATCCCAGTGGAGACGAAGGGGCTAAGCACGATGCCAAGAACATCATCGAGTACGCCATTTGCTTTTTATTATCAGACACATTTTAGTTTGAGAAAACCTGACTCTAATGCAGATATTTTGGAATGATGAGACAGAAGTGCCCTTCAGCTATAGCTGCTCTGTTTCCTCATTCTGCTTGTGCACACGTTCAGGTCAGCCAAACAAGATGTGGATGATGAGTACAGCGTTCCCACTGGGCAAACCAGCTCCCAGTCTTATTATGGGGTGGCCCACGCCGTCATTGAGAAGGTGGAGAAGCAGTCGTCTCTGCTGATAAACGGCATGCTCAAACATTATCAGGTAAACATGCTCGCATCATTTTTACACTTTTCCCCTGGTTTTCATTGCTGACATTTAAATCAACTTCATTCATTTGTTACTCGTCTAGAGTCTTGAGTGTACCGGGACCGGATTTTTACTACTGAATCAGTTTGTTATGGATATTTAAAGAAAAAAAAAGGACCCATTAAAAGCAAGTAACAAAGCAGAAAGATCAGAGGGAAGTTGGCTCTGTTGAATCCATTACCTGAAGACGACGATATGGCACAACTGTAGACATACTGAGACATGGCCTTAACTTACAGGTTAGACAATTAGATGAAGCTGCAGAGGTCCACGGTTCCATTAGGAGAACATTTCCAAGGTAGATTCCTTTAATCAGGCCTTTATGGAACAGAGGCAGGTCGAAAATTAAAGCTGAAGGGAAGAAGACGACTCATTAATGGATTGTCACAAGTTATATAGGGGAGACATTAGACATGCTTTGAGGGCGGAACAAAACCTTTAAGGCCTTCATACAAAATCCCTGTGTGGCCTTGTTTCCAGAATTTACCACAGGATCATTTTAATCCTTTGATTAACCTGTAGCCCAATTAGACATATGTATCAGGAATATAATGTAAAAGACTAGAGCGAATCTTGCTCCAAATTCCTAAAGGTCATTACTGGAATCATTTTTTTCTCAAGAATAACACACCCACAGAAAATCTAGAAGAATAAAGTTTAAATCATATAGGAAAGAAAAACATTATGTATAATTGTTATTTATTTTATTTGACTTGTACAAAATATATAAACATTTACTTCTTTGATACCAGCATCTAATTCTACACCAACAGTAGCAGTTTAGTGCCCAGTTTCTTTAAAACAGGGGGCCAGCTTTGTACAATTGAGAGGCTAACGTTTTTCCATTGTAACTAGGCCTGCAACTAACGATTATTTTTGATAAATCGATTAATCTGTTGATTATTTTTTCAATTAATAATTAATAAGCGGATAGCCAAAGGTTTCTTAGAGAAGATTTTTTTTATAATATTAAACCAGGTAAAACTAAAACTTTTCCACTTCAGTTGTTCTGAATAGAGCATATTGACAGACAAAAAATTTTTTTTTTTTAAATTACTGCTCTCAGTGGGTTGCTCTGTCAGGTAAAGGCATGTTTTACAATCTCTGTACTCCAGTTGACGATCATTTCAATAATTGATTAATTAGATCAGTTAATTTTAGCCCTAATTGTAACTTTAGAATATCTTTCATCTGCTTAGATGTGGGGGTTTCAAAGTAGGGAAACATAGATGTTCCTTGGGACAGTTTACATCTCTGTTAAGATGAAAAGAGAAATCTACTTATGAAAGAAGTACATATATATAAATGTGACAGGTTCCTCAGTGGAAGAACACCTGGCATCTAGAGAAAAGATAAAAGATCTCTGTCATTCCTGCTTTTAGACACAGCCGTGTTGGTTGTCTTTACCCTCCTACCATCTTCTTCTGCTGTGGCTCTGCCCCTTAGCAGACTGGCTGCTCTCTGCAGAAACACAGCAAGCCTGTAGCTCCCTGCCTTCTAACAAAGCAGAGTGAAGCGTGGCACAAGCTGTTGAAATCTAACGCATTAACTCATTTTTGCTGTGTCCCGTCTAAAACTTTACGGATTTCAGAGCCTCAAGATTGGACAAATGGTGAAGAGCATCCTAAAGCCAACATTCCAGCTTGAAAAGTTGAAAGTTTCCAGACTCGCATTTCAAAATCTAATAAAAAATAAGTTTTTAGGTTTATTTATTTGTTGTGTTTACAGTTTGTTGCTTTTAATGCACACAATCATTTTTATTTCTACAAGTTTAAATTGATGTAGCTCTTATTTGGCAGTTTAATAAATGGCATTTAATTATAAACAGGGGAAACAATTTAAAAACTGCATTAGCGTGTGTTTAAAAAAAAAAGCCCCCTAAACCTAATAAATAAAAATACAGTCAAGCCTTGGCGATAATTTGCATGGAGTAGAATTGTTGTAATACAGAGAACTCTGAGGTTTTTCGAACTCGAATGCCCTTTTTAAGGTGGGCTTACTGGTGTGTTTATATCATTAACCTTGTGCAGAATCAAGTCTGTTTCAGTTCAACAACAGATGGTCGACATTTTTCTTCAGGACGTTTTTGGTAGACGGCAGAATTCATGGCTCCATTTATTACAACAATCTTACTTTGACACCTGATGTGATACCAAAAGTCTTGCCGATCATGAATGTGACTTCTGGGAAAATTTAGACTGCGTGGCTTTTGTCTTGGAGCCCTGCCATGTAGCCATTTTTACCCAGTCTCTTTCTGATCATGAATGTCAGAACTCTGAAGCAACTTAGGCCTGCATTTGTTTGGATGTTAGATCTGGTCTTTTAGACCAGTCACTGCTTCACTCTTGGGTTGATCTTTTCCGGACAGACGGCCATTCCTGGGAATGTTCACCCCTGTTCCATATTTTCTCCATTTGTTCATCATGACCGACTGTAGGTCATCGGAATCCTTAGAAATGGCTCGTTTACCTTCTCAGGCAAGGTTACTTCCTCTCTACTGGTACCGTTTTGTCTATTTCAAAATGCAAGCTGAGCAGACAATTAAAGCAAAGCACAATATTTAATTTAATTAGGGGAGCAATTTATTTAGAGGCTTCAAAGTAAACAAAAGTCTCACACAGCACTATATTTACAAAGAGGAGATAAAAAATTTAGTGCGGCGTTGCTGCAGCACCATCCATCCATTTACCCTTTCACATCTGCTTAAATAGAGATTGGATCTGGGAGGAAATCGCTCCATGAGGGAAACCTAAAAATCCCTATCCTCGGTATCATCTCCACCTCGTTCTGGGGGTCCAGATGCAGTCCCAGGCAACATATATCCTTCCTGTTGCAAGTTTACATCTGCCTTGGAGTCTCCTTCCAATGAGACAGGCCTCTAAAGAGAGAGGCACGTTTATAGGATGCCTGAGTACATTGCCTTAGTTAGCCCACACACACTCTCCGCTATAAGTTTCCTCCAGGTGACGGAGCTCCCACACAAAGAGAGTTTTAAACTTCAGCCGCTTGTATCTCTGAGTTTGTTCCATCGGGCAAGATCCTTATTTCATGACCACATGAGGGAAGGTCTGAATGTAAACTAAAAGTAAAATCAAGAGCTTGGCTTTGAGCTTCACTCTATCTCAGCACCACGGACAGAAGCAGCTCCTTTGTAACTGCACATAAGGCCTCGGACTGCTCTCCATCTGCCCTCCATCCCTCCAAAGCCTGATACCTCCTCTCTCATAGACTGAGATTAATTAAAAATTAGTGATGCACTAATCTTTTTGTTTGCCTCTGACCAGAGATAATTAAGTCTGCTCCTTTTAATCCAGATTTTTTTTCTTTTTTTTTTTTATTTAATTAATTTTATTTGATCTAAAGTTTTGACACATAAAGCTGGATAAACAGGCAATTAAAAATAAATTCAAATAATAGCTACTGCAATTCTCCATTTTCCAGCAAAAGCTGCAGGGTGTATCAACAGAAGGGTGAAGAAATTAATATGCTGGGAAGTGGTAGTTTGAGTAGAAGTTAAGCGCTAACTTTAAAAAATGTAGATCAATTGTTTGGAAATAATTGGATCTTGATAATCTCCATGTTTGCAATTAGCATATCGATCAAGCCAAGCTTATGGGTTATTTTGGCCAGACTTGTTGCTGTTATGTCAATTAATGTAATGTTTGGCAATTCACTCCTAACATTAAGGTTATTCTCACAGCACCTTGTACCGACTATTTTGTTTATTGGCTATAGTGCCTGTAAATTTGCTGTTAGCTCTTGATTTGAGCATCAAGATCTGCTTTGAAAAGGAATGCTTAGGCATTACTGGCAAACTAATTATGAGCCATCTTTTCTGTATTCTTATTTTACTTGTGGTGCAAATAGCTGAAATAGGAGATGATTAGTAGAGTTGTTTTGTCAGAAAATCAGTTACAGCTTAGATTATTTTCCCCTCATGTATTTAGGAGGCCGAATGAAAGAGCCGCCCTGTGTTTTCCAGCCTGTTGTAGGTTCTTTGATGAGCCATATAAGCTATAGATCTGAGATGGAGAATGGCTGTAAAAAGAAAAAAAAAACATGCAGCAAGATCACCTATAAAACTAGAAAATGTATCTTAATTGGATTTACCTTTAAACTTCCAGCATAAATAGTGGTTTTAATTTGGGCAGGACGGAGCTTAAGATGTTCTTCACTTGAAGCTGTCCTGTGGAGGTTTCTACATCTCTGTAATACACCATTATACCTGCAACCTGTTATTTTCATCAATAGGAACTTCACAAAGAGGAGTGTGGTCTCTCTCGCTCTAATTCACAGCTCTGTGAACCAAGTGGCCCTATGTTTTCTCACAGCACATCTTTATATCTCTTTGTTATTTAAGATCCAGGGGCTCGAGTGGATGGTGTCCCTCTACAACAACAACCTCAACGGCATCCTGGCTGATGAAATGGGCCTCGGTAAAACCATCCAGACCATCGCCCTCATCACCTACCTGATGGAGTACAAGAGGCTCAACGGGCCCTATCTCATCATAGTCCCCCTATCGTAAGCACTCCCCACTTGGCTTTAATCCAACTATAGTGGGGCACTGTTAACTTGCACCCTGTAATTACTTTACACTAAAATATACAGCAGGGGGGCCAGAATATTCTACCGGGCATATAAAGTGGCATTATTTGACGGTTTCCTTTCAAGAAAAAACATTTCACAACATTCATCTGCCTTGAGCTTTTCTAGGAAGGCAAGGATAGAAGTCCAAGAAACTTTTTTAACAGTGATTTTACTATTTTTAACTAGTTGATGTTATGTACTTTATGTTGTTCATATACCAGACACTCACAAAGTATAGTAGAGAATTGTACAGAAGGTATTACATTAATGTGTTCAGGAGAATGTACTTATGTTCTTCCAGTGAGTTACTGTAGCTGCAGATGGGCTGTGGTTGCCATGGCGACCTATACTCAGTAGACATGATACTGTGATTTTTTTTTTTTTTTTAACTCAAAGTAATTATCACCCAGCTTTAGGTTGAGGTGGCAGCATTAGTTACATTTGCCTTCAAATCAGCAAATCAACTGAACTGCCTTTTTGAACTGAAAGCCTAGATATTTAATAAATGTTTAGTGCAGAAATGGGTTTAATTTGAGCTCAATGCTTTATACATTAATATCCATCCATGATAATCTAGAGCAGAACAAAATAGAGATTTTATCCTGCATTGTCCAAATGGAGAGATGATGTGCTCCAGTTTTTAATTGATCATTTTCCTAGAAACTTCCCAATTTGAGCTGAAATCCTCTGACCGTCTTCTTGCATTTATTCTCTCTCAAGGATGCCTGGGCTTTTATTTTTTTTCTCAACCATGATAAAAGTAATCAAATTAGGTCACCAATCTTCTTCTGTGGTTACAAGTAGCTCTTCACTTTCCTCGCTGTGTTTTAGATGGGATAGATCTGAAGTGGCTCTTAGAGCAATTTAAGGTGATGCCTTTGAAGAGAGACGTGTTAAGTGCTCTAGATTCAGACCCATAGGTAACAACTCCCTCTTCAGTTCAGAATGTTAAAATCTATTTATCTTTTTTTTTTTTTTTTCTAGGACTTTGTCCAATTGGGTTTATGAACTTGACAAATGGGCTCCTTCTGTGGTCAAAATTGCTTACAAGGTAAATAACTCTTTTTTGTTTTGTTTTATTAATTTGGTTGGTTTACTTTGACCTGAAACATTCCTTTATTCTCCCTCTCTCCCATTTAAGGGCACTCCTGCTCTGCGTCGCGGTCTTGTACCTCAGCTTCGCAGCGGCAAATTTAATGTTCTTCTGACTACCTATGAGTACATCATCAAGGACAAGCACATACTGGCCAAGGTAAAGCAGTTGAAGGATATGTCCTTTGTTTAAAACACTCTTGAATTTCAAATCTTTTGCATCGTCTGTCTCAAAAAAAAGTCTTCCATCTTATTATGCAGCTCAAAGTATAGAGTTCTCCCTGGTCCTTCAAATCCTTAAAAGTTGTGAATTTGAAAAAAATAAGTTCCAGACCCTTTATTTTTTATTTTTTTTGTTAAACAGACATTAAGACAAACCTGCCCTGCAAGTCCTTGAATTCTTTGCAGGGTAGAGATTTCATACAAATAATGAATTAGACGTTAACCAATGTGTACAAACTGTAAAAATAGCCTCTTATTGTATGACTTTTCTCTTTGCTTTGATTTGTATCTAATTTAATTTCCATCACTAAAATGATCCTTTATGAAATAAAGCTACAAAGGGAGTTTCAGAATAAAATATAAAACATGTGTTTCCAAATATTCCTATTTGGTTTTGATCAGAGGTTTGAGTCTGAGAGGATTTTCTAAAGTAAATCTGGACACGTGAGTGACAGATATTTTGAAATCATTTGCTTTAAATTTTTTTATATATCCATATTTATTTTTTCCTGTATGTGAATGTTAGCTAAATGTTTTTTCTATGTTCTTTTTTTATTGATTAAAGGATTACCGTAAAACCTATTTAAGTGAAATCTAAAGCTTTTTAGGTTGTATTATGTATAATATCGTTGATATAAAAATAGTCATGCCTAATCTTATACACAGCTGCATTTTCTGAGTTTATAAGCAATTCAAATCTATTTCCAGTTCCCATCTGACACCTGGCTTTTTCATCCACCTACAGATCCGCTGGAAGTACATGATTGTGGACGAGGGCCATCGTATGAAGAACCACCACTGTAAACTGACGCAGGTGTTGAACACCCACTATGTGGCCCCCCGCCGGCTCCTCCTTACCGGGACCCCACTGCAGAACAAGCTGCCTGAGCTGTGGGCTCTGCTCAACTTCCTGCTGCCCACCATCTTCAAGAGCTGCAGCACCTTTGAGCAGTGGTTCAATGCACCTTTCGCCATGACTGGAGAGAGGGTAAACATTAGGTTATATTTCCTATCATTTTTCTATTCTTTACAGTTTAGGAAAAGCTTAAAATATGTTTTAAATCAACCTTTCTTCTTACATATTGCTCTTATTATTATTTCAGTTGTTGCTGTTTTAACACTGTAATACACATTTTCATTTATTATAAATGTTGCATATTAAAATATCAATATAAAAAACACAACAAGATGTTTGATTCCAAAAGGGATAAGAACCTATTATGAATGTTGGTGTTTACTGATGCGAAAGCTAAAGCTGCCGGCTCAAATTCATTTGAGGGCTCATTAACTTATACATGATGGGGAAATCGCATATTAATGCTTTTAATTTACATTAATTCCAATAAATAAGTATTTTTCTATTTATTAAATTGAAACATGTTTTATGTTGTGTTTGCTAAGAGCACGAATTTTCTTTGCTCTCGATGTTCAGAGGAGAGGCTCTCGGGAGGAGGTTAAAGTGGTCTACAGATCAGTTTATCTAATTAATATTGGGGGATCTTCGACCATCTTGATATCTCGCTTTACCCACAAAGCATTGTGGGACTCTATTAAGTAGCTGTGTCAATTGTTGCCATCTTGCTTTCAGACAGTTCCACAATATTGCCAGCAGATGGGACATATGTCTGTTTTCAACATGTTTGGTGCCAGAATTCTATTTATGCTCACTGTTAGGACAAACGTTTAGTGTATAGAACTTTTTTTTATCATAATCAAATGGTTTTTGGTGTTCTTTGTACAGACACAACATGACGATGCACCTTTTAGGATGAGCAGCAGCACCCTCTTCTGGAGGATGATCACATTACTGCATTGAAAGGTCTTGTTAAGCTAGTGGTCAGAAACATTGTGCTTTAACTTTAAGAAATGTCTCTGCTTCAACTCACCTACTCTAATTTAAGATCATCAGTATAGCTCTGCACAAGCTAACCGTATGCTGGTGAGGTATTTTAGCCAATTCATTAGGGTGAGGGACACATCCAAAGGTTGAAGGACACCGAGTCTTGAGAATTTTAGAGATAAAAAATACAAAACTTACCAGGGCATTCACCAAAAGTCGCCTTAGTCAAGCCGAGTCTACCCACATCTGGATGTGGCCCAGCATGCAAAACTGGTCCCTTATTAGCTAATTCTTAGTAGAGCAAGCACTTCGGTTGGCAATAAAAGCTGGATTAGACCTACCTGATATAACCAAGACTGGGAGTGCAGCATGACCCTCTGATTTAATGTGATTACTTGAAAAAACAAGGAATCGACTCTACTTTGACTTTTACTTTAAAACAGTAGACTTGGAAAAATCACAACTCATTACACTTAAAGTTCATGGGATGGAGCCAGGAGAGCTTCATTATTGTGTTAAACCAAAAGTTCTATCCTACAGAATGCTCAAGTCCTTAAGTCTCTGTTTATCTGTTTTTCAGGTTGACCTTAATGAGGAGGAGACCATTCTAATCATTCGGCGTCTGCATAAGGTGCTCCGCCCATTTTTGCTTCGAAGACTGAAGAAGGAGGTGGAATCTCAACTGCCAGAGAAAGTGAGTCCTGTTTGATTTGACATTTACTGTCAGGAATCTGTTTGCAGTACAGCTGCTTTATTTTTTTAATCTGTCTCTGAAAATGCACGTTAAGATGAAGATCATTTAAATGTACTTCGATGCACTTTTAAAAGTGATCTTAAATCCTTAATTTGCAGTTGTAGTGACATTACTACAAAGAAAACTGGCAAACTATATTCAGCACACAGACCTAAAGGCTTTTTTTTACTTTTGTCAGACAGTTTTTTACTTGAATTCATGTTATTTCGATCTTAGAGCTAGCTTCTGCCCTTGGCATCAGTTGATTTTTCCTTTATAAGAACATAAATATTTTTTTTTATACAAAGACATCTTCATTTTTTTTACCGCCTCAGTTTTCTTATGAATAAATGTTTAGCATGCTGATATAAGTGACCATAAAAGACCTCAGCTCACCACCAGTGAGAGTTACTGTTGACTTTTTCCTAGTTTTAATCCAATCTGTAGCTGCCAGTTAGTACACTCATGGGTTCTGCTCTGCCCAGCTGTCTCCTGAATCAACTTTCTCTTTAAACAAGGTCATCCTTGTTGACCCTTTAGTGCATCTATTTAATGTAAGGAGGGAATTTAAGCCGCCAGTATTAACTGCTGATATATGCAACATGCTTGCTGCAGCTGCAGAGGTACAGCTTGGGAATTGATGATAATTTCTGGTGTTTAAGCTGCCTTATGAACCATATAACCATTCTGTTCCATATTTCTCAGGTGGAATACGTCATTAAGTGTGACATGTCAGCGATCCAGAAGGTTCTCTACCGCCACATGCAGAAAGGCATACTGCTAACCGACGGCTCAGAGAAAGACAAGAAGGTGAATTTTATTCTAACATGTCGGGCCTTGCTGTATTTTACCATGTTTTTGTTTTTTAAACATCAAAGAAACCTCTATTAGATAATTATAGGACTGTTGGTTCCCCTGAGTAGGTTTTGGATTAGAACAGGTCAACACAGCACATACTTTGCACTTTAATAGTTAAAACATTGTATAAAAGTTAATTTAGCTCAGTAATTTGAAACCTTAACTTGGGTTATTTAAATGAATTTATTTACTTACTTATTTGTTAAACGCACTAAATGTATGAAGTGGTTTCTAACCATGCTGGTCTCTCATCACTCTAGACTTGAGCCTTGTCTCTTGGGGTTTAGTGACTTGCCCAAGGGCATGAGTGGCAGTAGGACAGTAGATTTGAAACAATGACTTTCTTTTTTACCTCACAGCAACTACTTCACAGAGATCAAGTAAAGGATCTAAGGGATAATTATTTCCATTATATTATTTGCTCAAGAGGACTTTGTTTTACTGGTATATAGTCCCCACCTTAGTTGTTCAGAGGGCATTTAATGCAGAAATTTTACAGCACAGGACCATGATGCCTCTCCTGTGGGGTGTCAAAAGAGCCCCAAATCTGTTTTAAAGTGGACAGTGAAACTCCTACAGGATCTGAGAGGGGAAGGTTTTTGTTTGGGGGGTAGGCTTGTTTGTATCAAAAAGAAATAAATCAATTATTTGCATGAAAAACATTCCTTCAATCTCAAATGTAAATAAGCTGAATAATTTCCATTTACATGCCCGATTCTCTTTCATTGTGTCACCCTCTCTTTCTATGAAATAGGCTGGATGTCAAAAGGTTTCACTCACTACACAGTAATGAAACAGACAGTTTTTTCCGAGCTGGGGAGAAAAAATTTTTCTATCTTCTCAAAAGTTCATGACCCGTAGAACAGGCATGTCCAAAGTTGGTCCTTGAGAGCAGCTGTCCTTCAGATTTTGATTGCTCCTCAGTTTCATCACATGAGATTCTGATGATTAAAGTTCAGCAAAAGCCTGTTAATCAGTTATCAATGGAAATCAGCTGTGCTGAACAAGGGAAACATCTCAAACTTGCAAGAAAGTTGCCCTTGAGGACAAACTTTGGATATGGTTGATGTAAAGTGTTTAACAAAAACAATTTACAAACAAAGGGTGGAGCAAAATGGTACACAGTAAGTGTAGGTACTTATTCTCTAGAGATGCTGCTAAAAACTATTTCTAACATTTGACACCTAAAGTAAAACGCCTGGGAAAACATGTCTGAAATATGACCCATTTAATCATCTGCTCTTATTGAAACTGAGTTCCTTTGCAAATATTTTGCACTTTTGTATACAAAACTGACAGATTGTCCTGTTTTCTCCATCTGAGCCTGATTACCATATTTTCACGACTATAAGGCGCACTTAAACGTCTTTTTTTCCCCTCAAAATGTGCGGTGCGCCCTATGGTGCGGTGCGCCCTATGTGTGTTGTAACTGCGACTTTTGAGACCACCTCATTGAGGAGATGATGAAAGAGTGGCTGAATGTAAGGAGACCAGGTGTTTTTTTTCCACTCATCACCATCGCTGTTAATATGTGACTCCATGCGTGCCCATCTCACAGCTGATGTGAAAAACATGGGGAAACAAATTAACCCTGTGCTCGCTGTTCAACCGCTCGACATCGGTGTGAACCGGACCCAGCAGGTGCAGCAGAAGCAGCGAGTTTACATGCAAAGTCAATGGTTGACGCGCGTATAGGTGCAGAAAAAGGTCCTGCAGCGCGTTTTGAGCAGCAGGTGCAGCACGTCGGGAGCGTTTAAGCATCTGACGCACCGCCAACGCGCTGTTGCTGCTCGAGATGAAAAATTTAAGTTTTGCTGCTGGACGCGCCGCATCAACCAATCAGAGAAGCTGATCTGGGAGCTGACAGCGAGACAGACACAGCGCTCTGATGACATTAACGCAAATAAAAAAGGCTGGATGGATGAGGAGATGATGAAAGCGTGGCTGAGGCAGGTGTATGTGAGGAGACCAGGTGGTTTTTTCCACGCATCACCATCGCTGCGTGCCCATCTCACAGCCGATGTGAAAAAAAAGGTGAATCAAATGAACGCTGTGCTCGCCGTTATCCCGGGGGGTCTGACAAAGGAACTTCAACCGCTCGACATCGGTGTGAAGCGGCCGTTTAAAGTAAGGCTGCGAGCGGCGTGGGAGCGATGGATGACCGACGGAGACCACAGTTTTAGGATAAGTGGAAGGCAGCGCCGGGCAAGTTACGCCACCGTTTGCGGATGGATTGTAGATGCTTGGACTAACGTCTCTGCTGGCTCTGTTGTTCAAGCTTTCGCAAAAGCAGGCATTATTTCTGAGGAGCCGCGCTGCACGGAAAGTGACTCTGACAGCGAAGAAGGGGAAACTGGCATGTCTGATTTAGCGCAGCTGTTTAATTCAGAAACAGAGGATGATGACTTTGATGGGTTTGATTAATACTTTGTAATAAATACATGAATAAAGCACAAACATACTCAGTTTTGCTCCCGCTCTATTTTTCTACCTGAAAACTTAATTCAACAGCAGCCTCTGGGCGGGTCTCCTCCTCTTCACCGCGGTGGCTGGCAGGTGTTTTTTCATCTAAATAATCTAAATCTTGCAGCTATATTTGCTGTGATCAGTGGGAATAAAGTAGTTTTAATATGTTTTTAAGTGAGAAAGTCCACCTGAAAACTTAATAATTGCAGTCAGTTCATCCAGATTATCTATTTCTGTCGGAGGCGCTCAGACCCCCACATACAAGCGGTGCACCGACAGTAGAAATCTCTTCAACAGCAGCCTCACCGCGGCGGCTGGCAGGTGTTTTTCATCTAAATAATTTAAACTGCAGGCACCAGGATACCGGCAATAAAAGCGTACATATTCCGTCCGCAGGTTTCAGGATTTTAAGTTAATTTAGGAGTGACCACAGCGCTCTGTCATCTGCGATGTGTCTGTCTCACGGCCAGCTGCCAGGTTTGATTAATACTTTGTAATAAATACATGAATAAAGCACAGTCATACTCAGTTTTGCCCCAGCTGTATTTTTAAATACGCAGTAGAGGTATTTAAAGGTAGTAGAGGACATGTACCTGTATATAAAAAACGCGCCCTATAGTCCGGTGCGCCTTATGTGTGTGTTAAATACAGAAATGGGACACATAACTGAGACTGCGCCTTTTAGTACGGTGCGCCTTATGGTCGTGAAAATAGGGTAATATACTTTAAAGGAGAGTTTTGTTTGATGCACAAAGCATTTTATTCATTTTGGTTATTTTATGTTAATATTTGTGTATTTTTTAATTTTTTTATTTTATTAAAGTGCATTGTTTTGTTAGCTCGTAAAATAGGGTGCTGGACCGAACAAAAAATATAATAATCAAATGTAACAAGCTCAACTTTATATAAGCTTTCTGGGATCCTAAAAGATAATTATTTTTCTTACAAGGTGATATGGGAAAAAAAAAAAACATGTCTAATTTTAGCCACTTAAAAGTTTTTTTTTTTTCTAGATTTGAGTATCTGAAAAGATGCATTATAGTTCATGATTTGAACCATAAACTACATGAATACTCTAATACCTAAAAGACCCAACAAACAAAGAAACAATCAACTTGCCCCTCAAAGAAGAACTATACAGTGTAACCAGTATTTGGGGTAAAGCTCCAGGCTTTCGTTAAGGTCATGAATATCAACTTCCTTTCTACAAGTTTCAGAAGAGTCATTTAGATTTGTGTAGTGATTAGTCTGTCTAGAGTTGTTGTCAATTTTCCCAATATTTTCATATTTCTAGAAAGTAATTGTGTCTCCTGGCTGATATAGGTGTCACTGGTTTCTGTGAACCATGGAAATAGACATACAAGGACATTTGGAAAGTACTTATAGACATACATTTGTTCAGTTGTTCTTACAGTTCACTCATTCATTTTAAGAACAACTATTAAACATTAATACAATTATTTTTTTTACTTAAAACAACTTGTATGGTGTAGATCAACTTTATCTTGAAGAAAAATAATAATAGTAATAATAAGTATTATTATTTTTAGTTAAGCAGACTTGATTAACACTATTTTCATTTTCTTCAGGGCAAAGGAGGTGCTAAGACCCTGATGAACACCATCATGCAGCTGAAGAAGATCTGTAACCATCCGTACATGTTCCAACACATAGAGGTTTGCACTGCTGACACAGAAATGTTATATGATATTTTACTGATGTAACTCATTTAGAGCTCTTCCAGTCTCTTCTTCAAATAGGGTCTGCCTTACTGGGTTAGATTTTTTTTTCTTTTTTCGTCTTAGAAGTTGTTGTTTGAATAGTTTCATTCTAGCCGGCTAAATTCTCATCAATATTTTGTTACCCTCCATTATGACCCTTGAGATGAAAATGTTAAATTTGTTACCTCTGTTTATTAAAAAAATGATGTGCAGGCATATTTTAAAAGGTTGTTCCAGCACAGGAGATTAAGATTTAGGACTTCTCTACTTTCCTTTATAAGCACTGAATTCTTTCTTTGATACAGGAATCTTTTGCTGAGCACCTGGGCTACCCGAATGGCATCATCAGTGGGTAAGTTAAACATAAAACAACTTCACTCGTCTGTAGATTCACAGCTCATTTCACTGAGTTTTCATCATTCTACCTTTAAAAATAACTAAATATGAAAGAAAGCAGCTCCACCAAGTATCAGTGTGAAAGTAAAACCATATTTCTATACTTTGAGTTCAAAAAGGCTTTGGAAGGACTGAACAGATATGGCTCTTATTGAAATGTCAAGTTTCCATTGAATAAAACATTACATTGACTTTATTAAGCCATAACAAGAAATTACCTCTATAGGATCTTTACAAGGAAAATGTGTTAAATATAGCTGCAAAATACACTGCTAAAAATAAATAAATAAAGGGAACACCAAAACAACACAATATAACTTCAATCGAATAAAAATTCTGTGAATTCAAACTATTCACTTAGGAAGCAACACTGATTAATAATGAATTTCACCTGCTGTTGTGCAAATTAATAAAAAGCAGGTGGAAATTATTGGCAATTAGCAAGACACACTCGATAAAGGAATGGTTCTGCAGGTGGGGACCACAGACCGCTTCTCAGTACCTATGCTTTCTGGCAATGTTTTGGTCACTTTTGAACGTTGCTCATGCTTTCACACTCGTGGTAGCATGAGATGGACTCTACAATCCACACAAGTCGTTCAGGTAGCGCAGCTCATCTTGGATGGCACGTCGGTACAAGTAGGTCTGCTATGTCTGTCAGTGTAGTGTCCAGAGACTGGAGGTACTACCAGTACACCCGGATATGTGGAGGAGGCTGAAGGAGGGCAACAACCCAGCAACAGGACAGCTACTTCTGCCTTTGTGAAAGGAGGAATAGGAGGAACACTGCCAGAGCCCTGTAAGGTGGCCTCCAGCAGGCTACAGATATGCATGTGCCTGCACTAACAGTTAGAAACTGACTCCATGAAGATGGTATGCGGGTAAGACGTACCCAGATGTTTTGCATTTGCATTCGCCACCGGCGCCCTTTACAGATGAAAGCAGGTTCACACTGAGCACATCTGACACACGGAGATACTATGGAGAGCGTGACCAGGTTGGCAGTGGGTCAGTAATGGAGTGGGGTGGAATTTCTTTTGAGGGCCACAGCCCTCCATGTGCTCGCCAGAGGTAGGATGACTGCCATTAGGTACCGAGATGAGAACCTCAGTCCCCTAGTGAGACCATATGGTGGTGCTGTTCGCCCTGGGTTCCTCCTAATGCAGGACACTGCTAAACCTCATGTGGCTGGAGTGTGTCAGCAGTTCCTGCAAGATGAAAGCATTGAAGCTTTGGACTGACCCGCCGGTTCACCAAACCTGAATCGGATTGAGCACATCTGGGGCATCATGTCTCCATCCAGCTATCAAAGCTACATTGCACCACAGACTGTCCAGGAGTTGAAGGATGCTTTAGTCCAGGTCTGGGAGGAGATCCCTAAGGAGACCACCCACCACCTCATCCGGACCATGCCCAGGTGTTGGGAGGTCATACAGGCATGTGGAGGCCACACACAACACTGGGCCTCATTTTGACCTGCTCTAAGGACTGAACTTCAAAGTTGGATCAGCCTCTAGTGGGATGTTTCCCCTTTAATTTTGTGGGTGACTCTATTGGTTAATACATTTGATTTCCATTGATTATTTTTGTTGTTTTATTGTCAGCACATTAACTTTGTAAATAGCAAAGTATTCAATGAGAATAGTTAATTTATTCAGATGTAGCATGGTTTATTTCAATCTCCCCTTTATGTTTTTCAATTAAATCACAATTATTATAGCAGAACTAGTGGAACATTTTAATAAAAACACTTGAGAGGATGTTATATTTTAAGTTTCCTGCATCCACACTTTATGTGAAAACATTTAGCAAGTTGAGTTAACCTCTTAAGCCCTACAGCTTAGGGCTGTAGAGCTTAAGACTTATCTGGTAATAAAACATAAAAAAAACACTAAATCCTATTTCTCACCAAGCTCTTTACAGCAGAGTTGTTTAGTCTATTTTGGTCTTTTTTGTTTTGCCTTTATTCAGAGAAAACTGTAAATAATTCACAGATTATAATTTGATTTAAATTATTGAAATTTGCTTATATAAAACAAATTATTTTACATTCACACTGTTACAGTTTTAAGTTGAATCTAAGCATTAGAGATGCTTTCAGCTGTGTCCAACACCTTCCTTTGAGGGTTGGTGTCCTGCAAATTTAATGTGTCCTCGGTCCAACGCAGCCAATTCAAATGGCTTAATTACCACCTCAGCATGCATTCAAGTTCAACAGAGTCCTGCTAATGACCTATTTATGTAAAGAAGTTGCAGGGCTCCAGTTCTCAGGGACTAAAGTCTGTCATGTATGATTTAAAGTAAACTCTGTGTGATGCTGACAGGATGATGACTTCTGAAACTAGTTTTCTTTATGTTGTGCTGACATTGATGTTGACATTGAATTCTACCCCTGGGGGACATTATTGTCCTCTGTTATGATTAATGAATGGCCATAAGGAGCATAGAGTTTGTCAAATGATGAAATCCATGAAATTTCACCATAAAATATTGTTTGGATAAGTTTTATATATTGTATGGTTCCATTAACAGAAATAAGTAGTTTATTAAGATCTGTTCTATAAATAAGAAAGCATAGCAGCTGTACGTTAATTAGGTTCCACCAATGAAGGGTTTTAAATTTATTTGCATGCTCAACAATTATGCTACATTTCCCCTAGCAACAAGTCTTTTGTTTTCATTTTACAGTGTCAGTAGTACAGCTGAGCAGATAAATAATCTTTATTGTAATTTTCCCCACTCAGACATGATCTATACAGAGCTTCTGGGAAGTTTGAGCTTCTCGATCGAATCCTACCCAAGCTCCAGGCCACTGGCCACAGGGTGCTGCTCTTCTGCCAGATGACCTCTTTGATGACCATCATGGAGGATTACTTCGGTTATCGTAACTTCCAGTATTTACGGCTTGATGGTACGATCCCAACTATGATCTGTTCTGTTAGCGTTTAATAATACTTTACTGGTTGAGCACCAAACCTGGTTTGTATTTGTGTAAATTTCTATTGCTGTAGAGAAATGCAGTGGTTATTCAGCCCCTTGTTATGCAATGGTTTTTGATTGTGAGCAGGGATCCAAAAGTCTAACCACGTCTGCACTTTGACTAGGCTATTCTAACGGGTTTTAATGTTTCCCCTGAAACCACTTAAGATTAGCTTTATACTTTTTGTTCTTTATTTTCACTGTCTTTATGAAACGTACACCTCTTTCCCAGCCTCAAAGCACAGGCAGAATGGCATAGATTAGACTTAGACAGATTTAAAAAAAAAAAGAAGAAATTTCGTTAAGAACAGCTCTGCAGACAATTTCATTTTTTTTTGAAGTGCAGCCTTGAAAACAGTAAAAAATACATAAAAACAATAGTATAAACATATGAGAGTATATTTACAGTTCTAACATTAAATTTTGTTTGTTTTTTGTTTTTTACTTAAAAAAAATTACTTACTGTATAGATTTTACTCAAGTATATAATTTATTTAGCAGTGCCCCTCTTTTCCTTTACCTGGACCAGTCTCTCATTACCTGCTGCTGACAAACCCCCCCACATAATGTTTTTTTTTTCTTTTTTTTTAACATTATTACTGGAGGCTAAGTTGAGACTTCTATTGAAGTGATTAGACTGGTTTTACATTTATGAAGACTAGAGTATTCATTAATGCAAAAGCTTAGTTAAAGATGGCAACTTCTGTTACATCTGCATTTAAAAGCAGATAATTTGGAGTCATCCACTTTTTTACATCACTTTGACATGCCTGGAGTGTATATGTCTATCTAACTGATTACATTTATCAGGATCAATGAACAAAGCTAAGAATCAATAGCGTAAGAAATTTATCCCATACTCTGCAGCAGTCGGAGGCGAAGGTGACTTGACCAAGGATTGGTCATGGTTTCAAAAAACTTCTGTTCACTTTTCTCTTTTTAATGCTGCTTTATACGATCAGAAAGTACATTTTTAATGTAGCTGCAACATTTATTTGTTTCCAGGAACCACCAAATCTGAGGACCGTGCTGCTCTCCTGAAGAAATTTAACGAGGAAGGATCTCAGTACTTCATCTTCCTCCTCAGTACCAGAGCAGGTGGCCTTGGGCTCAACCTGCAGGCTGCAGATACAGTCGTCATCTTTGACAGTGACTGGAACCCACACCAGGTGCATCCATTAGTCCTCTAATATATAGACGTTTTGATGGGCATTTATGTTTTATTTTTACCACCAAGCTATATCTGCTCCTTATTTCTGGTTTAATAAGGTAAACTTTTATTGAAATTGGATAGTGATGGCTCTACAATTAGTATATTTTCATTTATTTCTCATAAAAGATATGATATGAATTCCTCATCCTGCTTTGTTTTTAGAGTGGAAGGATTATTAAACAAAATGGCCTAATGTGTCAACACGCAAAATTTTTTTTGTATTTTTTTGAGAGTTGAGAGAAGTAGATGGAAAGCTTATCAGAACTAAGAAAGTGACAAAATAATCCATGTGCCGATACACAACGCTGGAATTTGGGGCACTTGTTCTTACTTCATCATCCTAATGCCATGGAAGACACTAGGATGGCACCTGGGTGAAGCTGGCCCCTATATTTTACAGGATTGGGGGTCACTCATGCAGGTGGAGACAATGTGTGACTCCTTAATAATTGCATTTAACCCAATACAGAGTTTCTGTCTGTAAAATTTAGAAATAATTGGACACGTACTGGTTATTTTAATGATGGAGCTCTGTGCTTTTTATTTCAGGGACAGCACTTTTGTGATTGAGCAAATTGAAGCTTTAAGGACAAAAAGATCCTTGCAAACATAGAGAAAATGGGGATTTATTTGAGTTTTTTTCCTTCTTTTTTTTTCTTCATCACTGTGCCATGTTGCATATGAGTGTAAACGCTCAACTTAGACTGCCTATCATCCAATTCTTTCTGCATAAGTAGCCATTCGCTTACTGGCTCATTGGGCAACACGCATTTTTAAAAACCTTCCATGAGCCAAACAAAGCTGCTGTATACATGAATTGTGGGTTTCTCCCCTCCTGATATACAGATGCAGCCTGTTGAGATCTTACTATGAAAAAGGGGCAGATTTTCTCAACTCAAAATCTACCATCTCAAAACTTCAGAAACTATAATTTATAACCCTGAGCGGTCCGTTTAAATCTCAACAATCTCATTTTGCGGTGAAACGAAACTTACTCTTCTCCGAATTTGATGGCTTTTACTGTTTTTCTCAGTTTGTGCTCTGACGACTTTTTCCTAGTTTTGTCAAGGCTGCATATTTCTAAGAAATGTCAACTCTTTTATGGCAGGCTGTGCATGGTTTTCTGTCCTTTTAGATAAATGGCTTTAGCAGGCACACTGTGAAAGTGCTTGTGGAACTTTGACAGTGATGTGCAAAATGGGAGATTTTAGTTTTATTCAGAAATACTGATTTTTTTCAACAGTTTTTAAATTAATCTGTTCCTTTATTTTCCACACTACTGCTCCAGCCTTTGAAAATGCAAGCGCAGGATTGTGTAAATGCGTAAATACTTGAATTTTTGTCTTTTCAGTTATCTATTGAATTTTCTATTCTTCTAATATTGGGCCTTAATAAGTAACGCTGGCGTCTGCAGTTACATTTCGTGTGTCTTTTTTTGTTTTGTTTTGTTTTCTTGCCTCCATTACACTCATGTCCAAACGATGCCACAGTTTGCTACCAAAGAGTAAATAGCAGATCAGTTTTTCAGTTTAGGATAACAGAGCTCAAAATAAAAAAAAAAAGATCACCTCCAGTGATATCTTTCAAGGTAGAAGCCTGGAAGAGCTCTGTCTAGAATGCATAAAGTTTGCACAGTCTGAAGTTAGTCTCCTAATTGCTTTTGTTGATTTATTCTGGCTGAAAAAAAAACAAAATCTTATCCTCCATCATGGCTCTCAAAGCCTAAAGTAAAAAATATGAGGTTGTAACATAGAGCTGAATCATGAGAAAAACATCAGAAAATTATAGCTTATATACCTGCAGTATATAAGCTATAATTAGGATCCAATTTGGTAACAATTGACCTGGATCCAACACAATCTGGAATGCTGAAGATTATATAACCCTTACTATCTAATTTTCTGGTGGGTTGGGTTGTTTGCTCGTTGCACAATAAATAAAAATATTAGTTAAGAAAAAGGACAGTTTTGTGTCAATAATAAGTCATAAGTTACCATGGCTGGGTGTATCACCAGTTGACCTCATGTTTGATTAAGGGCGTGGCAGTGCGTCAGCAGGATGGCTTTTTTATCGGACGCCAACTCATTGGAACAAATTAAACACATAGTATTTAGATAAATTAATTAACAGTAAACACTTCCTGAGAAGCAAATCTAATAAATGTATATATGTTAGATTTCCCTTACCTTACCTTACTGGAAGAAAAGATGTCAGAATGTTCCCTCAGTAGTGAAATCCTCCTCTGCCCCGTAGGATCCATCCTCCATCCTCTCCTCACATTCCTCAATCTCCAAACTGTCTTTACAGCTCTTACATAACTTTCCAGACTATTAGAACTATACCAGAATATCTACAGTATTAAAGCTCTATCCAAAACCTGAACTGAGAAACTCTCCAACAAACCCCTACATTTTGAGCGAATACTAAGCTGTTTCAATGTCTGTCTGAAGCCAGACTCACCCAGGGTGTTTAGCTACAATGATCTTCATCATAAAACCAGAATTAATTGTTTAAAGAGTTACAGTGGGGTTTTAAAGCACCATGAAAACCTCGTCTGCTGAATTGGCACTCTCCAGGTAAACTGAATTGAATAATATTTTGAAGTATTACCAATATCCCTTTTTTACTGGGGTTTTTTACTTGTGTGAACAATATATATATTTTTTCATTTGAAGATCACATTTGTCAAACTCTCTTTTCAATCTTTTCCAAAAACATTTTATCAGAAATCAATAAATTTTTAGGATTTGCAAATAAAAACTACCATTTAACATGTAGATGAAGGGATATGATTATCTTTCACTCTTTGCCTGGAACAAATCAGTTTATTTTATATTTTTCCTTCAGATGAGGATGATTTCAGTCACGGCTAAAAGTTTTATTCTACGATGTTGAGTTATTCCGGAGGTTTTATGTTCTTTGTTCTTTACTTTTCCTTTATCCAGCCGTTAATGCCTGGAAATGTTGTCCCCATTCTTTATTTCCAGGATCTTCAGGCCCAGGATCGGGCTCACCGTATCGGACAGCAAAATGAAGTCCGTGTGCTTCGTCTCTGCACAGTCAACAGCGTGGAGGAAAAAATCCTGGCTGCTGCCAAATACAAACTAAACGTGGATCAGAAGGTTATCCAAGCAGGCATGTTTGACCAGAAATCCTCCAGCCACGAGCGGCGGGCCTTCCTCCAAGCCATTTTAGAACATGAGGAACAGAACGAGGTGGGAACTGAGTTTTAACGCTCATCAATTTTCAGTTGAAAAGATTTCAGAATTTCGGCTTGTAAGCAATGTATTATGTGTTAGGAACATTTTAATTAAATTTTTGTCTGCATAATGAGGGCTTCTCTTTGATGTGAAAATTATTTGTCCTTGAGTCATTTTTTTGTGGTCGTATAATCCAACCTCAGCTGTTTATTTGTGAAATCTGAATAGCACAGTGGAGTCTACTTTGTTAGCATATTAAATAAAATGAGCAAAAATATAAAAGTTTTAAATTCTACATGAGTTCAAAGGGCTGTTCTGATGATATCTTTGTTCAAGGAGGAAGACGAGGTCCCTGATGATGAAACCCTTAACCAGATGATCGCCCGCAATGAAGATGAATTTGAGCTGTTTATGGTAAGAAAAACACATTTTCATCAGCTCTGAAAGGCATTTACATTTCAGTGAACCTGTTTGGAAGTGGAAAGTTTAGAAAAAGACTAAAGCAGATGATCTGTCACAGCCCAATGCTCCTGGAACATTTCATCATTTCTTTGACAAACTTCACAGAGGCGTCGTTCTGCATGAGAACATCTTGGGTGTTGCAAAGTTCTCAGTTTTAGTGCAATTCAAAGTTCTTCAGGGAACTTTTTTCTTTTATCTCTAATGGCTTATTTAGATTTTTCATGCTTAATTTTGTGCTTTATGTTAACTCGCTCCTTGCTTCACTGGGTCCAAAAGCAGATGTACAGCATACTTATTAAGAGCATTTTGTTTGATATATATATATATATATATATATATATATATATATATATATATATATATATATATATATATATATATATACATAAAAGAAAGTAAAGAGAATATATGACTTTAATAACATGGGATTCATTTTATATTCTGTTAGAGAGAAATGTGGACTGTTCTCTGTGATTTCATGGTGCATTTGTGTTTTGAATCAAATAATAGTCTTGTTGTTTCACATGTGAAGCTACCTGCTGCTGTACGGTTAAATTATTTTATTCTATAGTCATCAGGCTTGGATGTTACTATGGAATTAACCTTTCAATAAATGTAGAAAATACCCTTCAAACAGTAAACATAATTCTGTGATACATTAAAACCTCTCAGATCCATCTTTGAGCTAAAAATATCAGAGACCCTTCTTTGTTTATTAATGGAAATAACTTCTCCTGCCGTGTTTTAGCGCATGGACATGGACCGTCGTCGAGAAGACGCCAGGAACCCAAAACGTAAGCCTCGCTTAATGGAAGAAGATGAGCTGCCTTCCTGGATCATCAAGGACGATGCTGAGGTGGAGAGGCTTACTTATGAGGAAGAAGAAGAGAAGATGTTCGGCCGCGGATCACGCTGCCGTCGGGACGTCGATTACAGCGACGCCATGACCGAAAAGCAATGGCTGCGAGTAAGAACTCTCTCTAACCATATTACTTTATTTCCTTACGCTTACAAACAATGGGATGAATTACATCATAACCTAATAAAATTCTAAAACTGTTATAACATATTTGACAGATGTGAACAAAAACACAAATTAGAGTTCCTTTAACCTCTACTTAGGATCCTAAATGTTTCGAACTAAATCAATCCTATTTGAAAAAGCTGAATATTTTTATCCCATACATTAGAAACTTTTTCTAATTTCAGCTGACGAATATCCACATTTAAGGAATTTACTGCATACCTCTGTATAATTATAATAATACATGTTCGGTGATTTAACAATCGAATACAAAGTAATGTTAGTAAACTAGAGTTCTATTTCATCCCTACTGACCGCCAGAGGGCGGTGCTGAAAGCACTGAATGTTCCCTTCGGGCATGCGCAGTTCGAGTAATTATACCAACAGAGTCACACCTGTGACACCGGATGACCACTCAGAAGCTATACAGGTGCTGGTCATAAAATTAGAATATCATGAAAAAGTAGATTGATTTCAGTAATTCCATTTAAAAAGTGAAACTTGTATATTATATTCATACATTACATACAAACTCATATATTTCAGATGTTTATTTGGTTTAATTTTGATGATTACAAATGACAACAAATGAAAATCTCAAATTCATCATATCAGAAAATTAGAATATTACTGAAGACCAATAAAAACAAAGGATTTATAGAAATGTTGGCCAACTGAAAAGTATGAACATGAAAAGTATGAGCATGTACAGCACTCAGTATTTAGTTGGGCCTCCTTTGGCCTGTATTACTGCAGCAATGCGGCGTGGCATGGAGTCGATCAGTCTGTGGCACTGCTCAGGTGTTATGATAGCCCAGGTTGCTCTAATAGTGGCTTTTAGCTCTTCTGAATTGTTGGGTCTGGTGTATTGCATCTTCTTCTTCACAATACCCCATAGATTTTCTATGGGGTTAAGGTCAGGAGAGTTTGCTGGCCAATTAAGAACAGGGATACCATGGTCCTTCAACCAGGTACTGGTAGCTTTGGCACTGTGTGCAGGTGCCAAGTCCTGTTGGAAAATGAAATCTGCATCTCCAAAAAGTTGGTCAGCTGCAGGAAGCATGAAGTGCTCTAAAACTTCCTGGTATGTGGCTGCGTTGACCCTGGACCTCAGAAAACACAATGGACCAACACCAGCAGATGACATGGCACCCCAAACCATCACTGACTGTGGAAACTTTACACTGGACTTCAAGCAACGTGGATGAAGTGCCTCTCTTCTTTTCCTCCAGACTCTGGGACCTTGATTTCCAAAGGAAATGCAAAATTTACTTTCATCAGAGAACATGACTTTGGACCACTCACCAGCAGTCCAGTCCTGTTTCTCTTTAGCCCAGGCAAGACGCTTCTGACGCTGTCTGTGGTTCAAGAGTGGCTTGACACAAGGAATGCGACAGCAGAAACCCATGTCTTTCATACGTCTGTGTGTGGTGGTTCTTGAAGCACTCACTCCAGCTGCAGTCCACTCTTTGTGAATCTCCCCCACATTTTTGAATGGGTTTTGTTTCACAATCCTCTCCAGGGTGCGGTTATCTCTCTTGCTTGTACACTTTTTTCGACCACATCTTTTCCTTCCCTTCGCCTCTCTATTAATGTGCTTGGACACTGAGCTCTGTGAACAGCCAGCCTCTTTAGCGATGACCTTTTGTGTCTTGCCCTCCTTGTGCAAGGTGTCGATGGTCGTCTTTTGGACAACTGTCAAGTCAGCAGTCTTCCCCATGATTGTGTAGCCTATAGAACTAGACTGAAAGACCATTTAAAGGCTTTTGCAGGTGGTTTGAGTTAATTAGCTGATTAGAGTGTGGCACCAGGGGCCATCAATTTTGAACCTTTTCACAATATTCTAATTTTCTGATATGATGAATTTGAGATTTTCATTTGTTGTCATTTGTAATCATCAAAATTAAACCAAATAAACATCTGAAATATATGAGTTTGTATGTAATGTATGAATATAATATACAAGTTTCACTTTTTAAATGGAATTACTGAAATCAATCTACTTTTTCATGATATTCTAATTTTATGACCAGCACCTGTATAGCCTGGTGTCATCCTTTGCTCTGCTCCTTTTTTCCTCTCGCAAGCGGTTCGCTAACTTCCCCGTTGTCTGAAGCCCCTGTCTCTTGACCGGAGTTGCGGTTATTCTCCGCCCTCCCAGGGCTGCAACGGGTCGATTCTGAAGATTACGGAAGGTAAGTGAGTTGTTTGCTGGTGATGGTAGCGTCCGCGCCCCCTCTCCCGGCTCACGACTTTAGCTTTTTACCTACAGCTTCGTGCTGTTTTGTTCCGAACTGGTGACGGCAGCGTTTTCGCCCCTACTCCCAGTGTGAATAACTTCACTGCCGAAGTTATATACGGCTAACGTAGTTAGCTTCTTTAGTTTGTTGGTGTTATACCTGGTGACGGCAGCGGTTTTCGCCCCCTCTCCCAGTATATTCCCTACTTTTGCATCCTTTTTTTCACCGGTCTGCGCTGCTATAATTACTGACGGCCGCGGTTTTCGCCCCCTCTCCCAACCAAGTGTGGTCTACTTCGTTGCCGAAGTTGGAGACGGCTAACGTTGTTAGCCTTTTTTGGTTTGTTTGCAGCCTTCTTCATCGGTCTGCTTAATTATAAATGGTGACGGCAGCGTTTTCGCCCCCTCTCCCAATATCAACCTTTTTTTGCAGCCTTTTCGTTGGTCTGCTCTCTTAATTGGTGACGGCAGCGTTTATCGCTCCTACTCCCTACTTAAGTTGCCATACAGCTAACGTTGTTAGCTTTTTTTGTTTATTGCTTTTATACCTGGTGACGGTAGCGGTTCTCGCCCCCTCTCCCGGTATCGGCCGCCTTGTGTCCGCAGCCTCTCTTGTTTTATCCGCTATAATTGGTGACGGCAGCGTTGTTCGCTCCTACTTCCAACTTAAGTTTCCATACAGCTAACGTTGTTAGCTTTTTTGGTTTATTGGTTTTATACCTGGTGACGGTAGCGGTTCTCGCCCCCTCTCCCAGTATCGGCTGCCTTGTGCTCGCAGCCTCTTTCGTTTCTCTGCTGTAATTGGTGACGGCTGCGTTTGCGCCCCCTCTCCCGATTTTCGATAACTTTCTGTTCTTTAAGCCTTGTCGGCCTTCGACATGGATGGCTCTCACAGCTGCATAGATTGTGGGGCTGCCCTGCAGGCAGAGGATGGCCACGACCTGTGCCCTACCTGCCTTGGACATGAGCACCTTTTGGAGGCGCTGTCTGAGAACCCCTGTATGAACTGCAGCTTTATGCCCCATGCAGTGAGGGTGGCCCGGTTGGCCCAGTTGTGCCCCCAGGAGGGCTCGGACCTTCCGCCCTCTGGGCAGGTGGTTCCCCCCAAGCGTTCTAAGCGCCGTGGTGGGACCACAGCATCTGTGCCCCTCCCCCGGAGGAAGCGGGCCAAACCTGACCAGGGCCTGTCCACAAGGGTGGAGCAGTTGTCAGCAGAGCTGGCAGAGATGAAGTCCTTGTTGCAGACACGGCAATCTGATCCCTCGCTCCCAGTGGTTGGGCTCTCTTCCCCACCAATGCCCGAGCTGGTTGTAGAGGATGACGTTATCTCTCTGGCTGCCTCCGCTTCTCATTTTAGAGATGAGGAGGAGGCAGGGTCCTCTCAAGCCTCTGAGGCTGGTTCATTTTCATCTCAGAGTGCGGTTGGAGAGGCCGGTGACGGTTCCATGCGGGAGGTCATGTCTATGGCCCTGAAGCAGCTGCAGCTGGAACTCCCACAAGGAGAGGCATCCAGCTCTGGCAGTGCTTTTTTCAGACGTGGAAGGGCTCCTACTCCTTTTTCTGTACCTCCATCAGAGGAGTACCTGAAGGAGTTACACGCCTGTTGGCGGGAACCGAGAGCGCTGTCGCGTCTCTCCTCGGATGGTCGTGTATTAGCTGCCATGCATGAGTCAGTGAAGGCCGGCCTGGACCGTATGCCAGCAATTGAACCAGCTGTTGCTTCACTGATTGTGTCACCAGATGAAGCCCTGCGTCCTGATGTCCGGTGCCCGCGGACTCAATGTCGGGTTACAGATGACCTCCTCTGTAAGGCGTACAATGCAGGAGCGCGTGCTGGCCGCCTTGGTAATTCCCTGGCGCACCTCATGTTTGCCCTGTCTGCATCTGTTCAGGACACTGGTGGTGCAAGTGCGGCGATTGGTTATAGTGACGCAGCGCTGCAGGCCTTCGCGCTGATGACCAGAGAGCTTGGACGGGTCATGTCTTTCCTTGTCCAAGCTCGTAGACAGGTCTGGTTGGCACAGTCTCCTCTGACTGAAGCATGCCGTAGGACCCTCAGGGGTGTCCCGGTTGTACCAGGGGAGCTGTTTGGATCAGCTGCCTTGGAGGCGCTGGAACGGACTGCTCAGGCACGTCAGACTAGCCAGCAGCTTTCCGGCCTTCGCAGGAGCATACCTGCCTTTCCCCAGCGTTCGGGCCGCCCTGCCACTACCCCCAGCGTTCAGCCACGACCTCAGACCGGTGGCAGACCTGTTGGTTCCTATCCCCATGATGTGCGGCAGAGACCGAGAAGGGACTTTCGTGAGCCAGTCTGCCGCCCTGTTAGACAGACCCGGGCCTCAAATCCTGGACGCCCTCCCCCCAGAGCCCCCAGGGGCCGTGGGGATAGAAGATGATGCCACCGGGCCAGCCGTCGGACATTTTTCCCATCAGCAGCTGAGTTTCTGGGCTGCTCATGCCGTAGATCCATGGGTGGTTGCCACCTTAACCAATGGCTACAGGCTCCAGTTCCGACGGCGGCCCCCCCTCTCACACCGGGTCAAGATGACTGTCATCACAGACCCGGTGAAATCTCAGGCACTAGACCAGGAGCTTTCCGCCCTCCTGGGCAAGGGGGCAATCGAGTCTGTAGATCCTGTGCAGCAACCCAGAGGCTACTACTCCACATACTTCCTTGTGGCCAAGAAGACCGGCGGTTTTCGCCCCATTTTAGATCTAAGGGGACTGAATCGGTACCTGAAGGTCCTTCCCTTCCACATGCTCACCATAACAGAGGTCCTTCAGACCATTGTGGCGGGAGATTGGTTTACATCAGTAGATCTGACAGACGCCTACTTTCACGTGCCTATTGCGGCAGAACATCGCCGTTTTCTCAGGTTCGCCTATCGGGGGCGCCATTGGCAATTCCGGGTGCTCCCATTCGGGCTCTCCCTTTCCCCGAGGGTGTTTACTCGATGCGTGAAAGCAGCCCTCTCTCCTCTACAGGCCTCCGGAGTCAGGATTCTGCCATACCTGGACGATTGGCTTCTTTGTGCTCCCTCTCAGGTAGCTGCCTCTCGGGATACGTCCCAGCTTCTACTTCATGTGTCAATGTTAGGCCTCAAAGTCAACTTGGCAAAGAGTTGTCTGGTTCCATCTCAGACAACCACCTTTCTTGGGATGCATCTGGACTCTGCTACCATGATGGCCCGTCCATCTGTTCACAGGGTGGACGACATACTCCAGCTTGTCCGTCGATTCAGACTGGGCAGGGAGTTTCCCTACATCACCTTCCTGCGAATGCTGGGCAAACTGACATCAGTCACTCATGTCGTGCCCTTAGGGCTGCTCCTTCTGCGTCCTTTGCAGCGATGGCTCAACAGCTTTCGCCTAGACGCCAGGCTGCACAGGCATCGCAGGCTAATGGTGACCAGGAGCTGCCTCCATGCCCTAGCTCCTTGGCGAGACGGGACCCTTTTGTCCAGTGGTGTTCCAATGGGGCTAGTAGTGTGTCGAAGGGAGGTGGTCACCACGGATGCCAGCCTCATGGGCTGGGGTGCCGTGTGGCAACACAGAGCTGTTCGGGGTCTCTGGGACCCAAGGGAGCGCACCGAACACATAAATGTGCTGGAGCTGCGGGCTGTGCACATGGCCCTCAGGTGCCTTCTGCCCCACCTAGAGGGAAGGAACGTGCTGATTCGGACAGACAACACCTCTGTTGTTTATCATATAAACCACCAAGGTGGCACCAGGTCAGCACGTCTCTTGAAGGTGTCGAGGGATCTCCTGGAATGGGCGTATCCCCGTCTGTGTACCCTGCGCGCAGCGTATCTGCCAGGACGGCAGAACCAGGTTGCGGACTCTCTATCCCGCCAGGCACCTGCTCCGGGAGAGTGGTCTCTTCACCCCGACGTAGTGCGCATAATCTGGAACCTCTTTGGGCAGGCAGAGGTAGATCTGTTCGCCACAGAGGAGTCGACCCATTGCCCCCTATGGTATTCCCTAACCGGGATGGCGGGCGCACTGGGCCAGGATGCACTGGCTCATCCATGGCCGCAGGTTCTCCTGTATGCCTTTCCACCCCTCTCACTGGTTTGGCCGACTCTACGGAGGGTTCTCGAGCAGGGCCACAGAGTGTTGCTGGTAGCTCCGTTCTGGCCAGCGCGGCCGTGGTTCCCGCTGCTTTGGAGTCTGTGTCACGGTACTCCATGGCGTCTTCCAGCAAGGAGGGATCTGCTGTCTCAGTTGGGGGGACAGATATGGCACCCCAACCCTCAACGTCTCCAGCTGTGGGCATGGCCCCTGGGAGGCTGACTGGGTGTTCAGACACCGTGAGACACACTGTATTGAGTGCTAGGGCTTCCTCCACTCGGCTGCAGTATGCTAACAGATGGCGCCTCTTTTCTCAGTGGTGCTCTGCCCACAATGAGAACCCGCTTTCCTGCTCGGTGCCCACTATTTTGGAGTTCCTCCAGTCTCTCCTTGATAAGGGCCGCTCTCCTTCGACCCTTAAAGTGTATGTTGCAGCAATTTCATGTCTTCACCGAACTGTTGACAACCGTACAGTGGGGCGCCATGAACTGGTTTCACTTTTTCTGCGTGGTGCTCGTAGGTTGTGCCAGCGGCCAGCCCCACGAGCCCCAGATTGGGATCTGCCATTGGTTCTCACAGCTCTGTGCCACCCTCCATTCGAGCCTTTGGCACAAGCAGAACTCAAGTGGCTTTCCTGCAAGGCTGCTTTCCTGATGGCTATCGTCTCAGCTAAGAGGGTCAGCGAGCTACATGCTCTTTCTGTCAGCCCTAGGTGTATCAGGTGGAATCCAGATGGCTCTGGTGTTACCCTGTGGCCTAATACTGCGTTTGTGCCTAAGGTGTTGTCTCCTTTTCACCGTAACCAGCCATTGCGGCTCGCTCGGTTTCAGCCTCAATCTGGTACAACTGAGAATGAGTCGGAGTTGTTGTGCCCGGTAAGAGCGTTGGAGGCATACATTGCAGCCACCGCCAATCTGAGACGCTCGGACCAGCTTTTCCTATGCTATGGGGGTCCAAGGTTAGGCTGTCCTCTTTCTAAACAGCGTCTGTCCCATTGGATTGTGAGTGTCATCTGCCACGCCTACGCTGCAGGTCACTGCTCCCTGCCAGTCGGTGTGAGAGCACATTCCACCAGGAGCGTCACCGCTTCCTGGGCTGCTTTGAGAGGGGTTCCGCTGGAAGCTATATGTGCTGCTGCTTCATGGGCTTCCCCAATCACCTTCACCAGGTTCTACAGTGTCAATGTGGCTGCCCCTCATCCCCTGGGTCAGGTCCTTTTACAAGGTTCTGCTGGGCCTCCTCTGTGAGGTATGTGCTCAGGATTCCTTGTGACATCGTTGGCATTAGTCATTCAGTGCTTTCAGCACCGCCCTCTGGCGGTCAGTAGGGATGAAATAGAACGAAAGTTACGTATGTAACTACGGTTCTATGAATCCCGGATGACCGCCAGAGCTTCTCTGTCACTCAGAATCCTTGCTTTTGCGAGAAGATTCTGTAGGAGCAGAGCAAAGGATGACACCAGGCTATATAGCTTCTGAGTGGTCATCCGGTGTCACAGGTGTGACTCTGTTGGTATAATTACTCGAACTGCGCATGCCCGAAGGGAACATTCAGTGCTTTCAGCACCGCCCTCTGGCGGTCATCCGGGATTCATAGAACCGTAGTTACATACGTAACTTTCGTTTTATTGTCTTACTTCCAAGACATCTGTAATGAATCTTTATATAAACGCTGAGCTTTCTCCGTATAGATGCCTTTGGACTACTGTAGGGTTACTGTATGTGTTTGGTATTTTTAATGATGCACCGAGGGAGAGATCTGCAACCGAATCCTTTTTGTTGTGAGAAGAACTAAATATTTCATTATGCTTTTAATACTTGATTGTTGAAACAATCTACGGCAATCAAAAGTCCTTTGATTGCTGCTGCTCATTTAAACACAGAGAGCAGCTTCCTCCAATTTGATTTCATTGTTATGATCCCCAATATTATCGCCATTACTATTTACACTACTTTCATTCTGTTTTTTTTACTCCATCTTTGACCTTTCCCTGGTTTCTCCTTTTTTTTTTTTTACCTTTTGTCATCCTTTTCACTTTCATGGGAAGCTGAATTTGATTAGATCTTTTTTGGCAGATATGTGAATAGCTGAAAATGGATTTGTCAGAATGTCAGTGGATGTTTGATCAGTGCATCTCTAAGCATAGATAATGTAAGACGATCCATCTGCTCCCTTCATTGTGTTGCACTATTTAAATTGCACCTCAATCTTTTAATAATTGCCCTTCAACATTTTACATAAGATACCAAATATTTACAATTTTCTTATCTTAAATATTTTATTTAGGACAACAAGTTGAATGTGTTGACCTTTTATTTCAGTACTTCTGGTTTTTACATTCTCTCTTGTTTACATTGCACTAAATCAATTCAATGCTCTATTTTGTTTCACTTTTTCATGCTTTCACAGGTTTGCCTTCTTTTTGTTAGTCAGCAAAAAACTGCTTTTTAAAAAAATGCTTTGTATCCATTGGATTTCTCCACATGTAAACATATGCACAAATTTGCTTATCGCTATTAGTTTTATATCACTTAATAATAACTATCCATTTGGTCCAGGTATGTTGGACCAGGGACACATAATCAGATGTTTCGCTTGTGTGATGCTGGTGGCAAACAAAAAATAAACACACTTTCCCCTAGAGAAACGCGTAAAGCCCCGCAAATCAATTTTATTGAGTTGCTCAGATGCTTCAGGGAAAACAGAATTAGAACAAAGACACTTTGAGGCCAAGGCGACAGGATGTTGAAACCACTGTAAGCTGTGGTTCAAACAACTATTCATTAGAGGAAGAAAAATGTGGGCAGACATGTTGGCTGCCAGATAGAGAAGAAGAAAAAAATCCCAACATGACAAAAGTGACACACAGAACAAGAGGATTTGTTCTAAGGAGGAAGTTTATTTTTAAGTTGAATGGTTTAAAGTTAGAACAAGCAGAAAATGAATGACACAAAACAATTCTTTACCGTGATATATCTTTTTTTCGGCATCAGTTACCAAAATTAAAACAATAAACGTAAAGAAAAAATATATAATTTAATGTATCAAAGTATAAATGAGCTTTGCTTCATGGTTGCCATGTTTGAGAGACGCTAATATTAACCTCGTATTGGGTTCTGACATCTGCAAACTTTCAGGCCATCGAAGATGGGAACTTGGAAGAAATGGAAGAGGAAATCCGCCTGAAAAAGCGCAAACGCAAGCGACGTCAGGACAAAGACTCATCAAGCAGAGACGATGGAGGCATGAAGGCCAAGAAGAGACGAGGGAGGCCGCCGGCAGAGAAACTCTCGCCCAACCCGCCCAAACTCACCAAGCAGATGAACACCATCATCGACACAGTGATCAACTACAGAGATGGGTACGGTTTGATTTAACCTCTGAGGTGTTTTTTTTTTGTTTTTCTTTTTGCATTACTTCATGAATTTTAAAACAGAATCTAGAGACATGCAGAGGGTTCAAACACAATGTTGTCTTCTAATTGTCTACCAGCAGTTTGAGATTAAGGAAGACTAGTCAAACAGTGACCATTCACTCCAGCATTTAAGTCCTTCTAAACTCATCAATTCATCATAGACCTCATGCATAATCACACATAGCCTCTTATAGTGATATCGCTGTAAAAATTAGTCACTTGAAACCAGAAAATTATTCAGACATTAATATGGTAATTCTTTGAATATTAATAAGACAATCCTGAGATGGGAGTATAGAAAGCTTAGTATTGGTGTGAACCACTTAAGGCTTAAACTCAGCTAGCCAACTCCATTACCTTTCAGCACTAAATCTTTAGGCAAAGACTAAAAATGTCATATTTAAGGTTATAATTGCTTCTAATTGTTCTTTTTTTCTAATTTTTGGACGGCAGGGAGTTCATTTACCTGCAGCAAACCTCCAGTGTTGTTGATGCCACCCCTGCCTCTTTGCAGAGCGTGCTCATCCCTTTATGACCCCAGTTGTGCCCATGTTCTAACACCAGATTCACATTGAATAGGCTGCAGCTGCACGGCGGGCGTGCTTTAAAAGGGCAATCACACTGATAACTGCAACCAGTCCCACCCAACTACAACTCCAGCTGCAGAGACTTAAATGAAAAGATGTTAAGTCCTCACACTCTTTCTAGTAGATCTAGGGCAAAATTTGTTGAAGGTGCACATAAGTATTTTTATTCATCCTTCAGTAAGAGCCTGTTAACTTTTTTTTTTCTTTTTTTGTTAACTGCTCTGTTTTAACCAGGCAGGTTAGCGTAGATTGGTATGTTGATGCTATTTTGAAAATCACCTGGACTCTTTGCTGTCTGGTGCTTAATCTCTCCTGTTTGGTTCATGTATTCTCCGGTTGCTCAACATTAGTTCAAAGCTCCTCGTCTAAATCTGATAAAACACCTTTGGGAGGAGGCGGGATGAAAAATAAACATGTATGAAAAGATCTATGTGACACTTTCATGCTAATGAAGACTAATATCAACACTTTGACACCAAGGCTGTCAAACCTGCTTTCAGTAAACTGTCACTTTAGTTGTGTGCCGGTGTCAGCACTATGCTAGACCTCCTTTGGTTCAGCAACCTCTGCTCCATTTTAGAAGCTTCCATCCAAGATGATGTAACCAATTCATCAGCTACGTTTACATCCTCAAAATTTCCCCAATCCGGTCTAAACCTTTGTTGATAAAAAATTCAACATCTCTGTTTACATGAACACTGTATAAAATTATTGGATCATGACTTTTGTATACATGTACCAACCGTTCAATCAGTGTGAATCATTTGAGCATGTGCCAAACTGTCATTTTTTTTTGGTAGTAGAAGAAGAAGCTGCCTGTTTTGTAAACAAACCCACCCCTGTCCGCTCATCGTCGACTTTATCTACCCTTTGGGCCTGACCTCAAATTTCTTTGTCCATTGTTGTAGCTTTTTCCCATTATGAAACTTTGTCCCATCTTTTTATCCATTTTTGGAGTCATTTTAGTCAAGGGCTCAGCGGTTTTGATATGATGAGGTCTCAGTCTGCCTATTTGTGTCCATGCAAATGTAGCTACTCTGTGATTATTTTTATTTTTTTTTTTTTTTACACAACAAGAAAGGATAACAAAAGAGGGGTTTTGTGTTTGTTATGGAAGTAAATCTGTGTCGCTGGGATTTGAATTAAAAATGACACTAAGAAAACGTAACGGGATTGGCTGGGTGTAAAGTGAAAAATAAGTATTGAAAATGTAATCACTTTGAAATAGTAATGTGAATTTTTAGCTTGAAGAGAAAATAACAAATGAAATTTCAACTGTGTAGAAATAATGACAATGAATTTTTTTTAGGTCAAAAATGTGTTCTGAATATATTTTAACACTGACACAGTAAGTACAAACATACAACATTTAAATTTCAGTGGCATTTTTAATTCAAATCCCAGCGACACAGATTTACTTCCATAGTTTGTGGCCATATCCCAGAACAGAACTGAAAGAGCGTAGCCAGAAAGAGTTGTTCATACAAGCAGTTAAATGAGTAAAGGTCTCCATTTTAAATTCAGTTATTGTCATTGTATAGAAAAGTACTGATTGTACATTGAGCTGTCTCAATGGAAAACAATCATTTTGACTGAAGCTGCAGATGAAGTGCTGAAATACCACCGCTGTGCTGTTGACACTTGATGGCTGTAAAAGTTTTCTTCAAAGATGTAACTGGAAAAAAAGACTCTAGCTGCAGATTCAACTTTTGACACTAGAGAGAAACAAGATTTAGAGATATGATTCTTTCTGATAAAGAACACAAACGTTTTATTAATAATTTAACATGTGACAATCAACAACTACCAGTGGCTTTGTGACTTTATCTGGAAGATGTCTCTGTGGGAATCTCCCCTGTATTAACTATTTGAAACCCTTAAATCGGAAAAGGCAGGAGAGCACACAGCAGGCTTCCGGCCTCCTTGGGTCTCTGAGCTAATTTAGCGAGTTCTTTCTCCTTCAGTTCTTTCTAAATTTCTGATTGTAGAGTTTAATTGGGGCCTCTAATGATAAAACCTCCTTTTGTTCTAAAGGGAATAAAAAAACAGTTTCCATCAGTCTTCAAATGCTTTCCAATAAACGTTCAGGTTATTTTCTTGCCGTTTCCCATTTGAGGGCAGAATTGATTTTCTTACAGCAGAGAGTATGAAAGTAAACAGTCATGAAGTCGCATAATGTTTAGCCCAACACTACAGGGAGGATCAGTGTAGTCCTGTATGGTTTGAATTCAATAAAACATGTTTTGCTCTTATGGCACATTTTCTTTGTGCCTTTATCGCTCAAATACAGATGTTCAAAATATTCTGCTGCATATGTGGTAGGATCTCGATCCCACTTTTCTAGAAATCACTTTCGCTATCTGTTGCAAGTTGTTATTTTTGGAGGTTATTCATCATCAGCCTTCTTGATTAGCCCAGGTTTCATTGCTGTTTCCTCATTAAACGAAAAAACGTGTGATACTGGTCTGATCTTTTGCTAAAATTTGAGTACATTTCTACAAATATATTACTTTTCATGTCATTGTTGCCAAGCAACAGTGAAAAATCAGACCGTGCAACTCAAACACCTGGAGGTTTGTAGGAATTGCAATATTTAATAGCACAGTCACACTGTTAGACACATCTAAAGATATTTCTACAGACTACATGTATTTACCAGATCATATCTGAGATCATTATGCTTTAGATGAGGGGTCTCTTTTCCCAATCCTCATGGTGTCCTGGAACCTTTAGATGTGTCTCTGGTCCAACATACCTGAACCAAATGGCAAAACTACCTCATTACTATTGCAGGTTCTAAAGAGTCCTTTATTGATCTGATTTATTTAACAGAGGCGCATATAAACCTTGAGGAATAGAGTTGAAAAGCTTTACTCTAGACCAGGTTTTTGCCTTTTTTTTTTTTTTTTTTTACAGTGTGCCTTTTTTGTTTTTCTCAAGTTCATCAGCTGAAATACTAAATCACATTTAACACCACACTTTTACTGGTTTGCAATAATATTTTAAATCGTATTCATACAGAGAATTTTGGTTTGGAAATTATTAAATAACAATCATTTTAATCAAACACTCTGTTTGAAGCACAAGAACGTAGAGAGAAAATGTTTTTTTGTTTTTTTATAAATCTTTTTATTGAAAAGTCAGAGGTAGAAACAATAAATCATCATCATGGTTATCAAAAACTTTTTGTTTTTCATACACACTCAAAAACCACCTCCATCCCCCACCCATTATTATAGTAATAATAATGGATCAAAAGAAACCGTACCAGCAGTAGATTTCAGTTTTTGTTTAGAGAGAAAATGTTTGTGCTAAAAGTGCTTCTTTGAGATGGATTAACACTTGGAACAAATTAAAAGTTCAAAACTAAGTATTATGCCGTTTTCTCTGTTGTAATCGCTCCTCCTCTGATGGCCAGCTCCTGCAGTTGATCTTTGACCTTAAACCAGCTTTTCTCTCTATTTCTATCATCTACACTGGTTCTGATTAGATCAGATAAATGGGCCAGAACTACTTCATAATGATGGAAAGACAGTGTTGCCAGTGTGTCTGTTTAGGCCTCTAGTGGTGGCAAAGTCAGTTGGATAATTATCTTTGTTGGATATCACAAAATACAAGAACAGAAGAAGCTGACCTGGTTTTCACTTAAAGCCCAGAACACTCCAGAACAGCTACAGGAATTCAACCAAGCTCCAAATGCATCAGCAGGGAGTTTGTTCAACTCATCAGAGGCGTCTAACAGATTTCCATTAATAAAATCAATAGCAGCTGTTCAAACCCTCCTGCGGCATTGTTTTCTGACTGGTAATTAGCTCCATTATCTAATCCTTTTCCAAAAGCATCCAGGAGAAACCTGAAGAAAACTGTTAAAGCATAACTGGGTGGAGATTGTTCACTCTGGATGAAAGCATTTGTGTTTTTGTTTGCTTTTTTTTTCCAATTAGATTTCATCTTGGCTTTTGAAGTTGTTAAAAACTAACCATTTAAAAAAAGTATGTTTGAATTTAGAGTAAAAAAAAATTTTACATTTTGTTAAGACAACAGGAAGTCTCTTGGTAAATACCATCAGTGAAGCTGTCATGTTCACTCTTTTAAAGCGGATGGCTTAGTTTTTTAGCTTACTGTCAGGGTGAAGACAATCATAGTAACATTTGCTTTGCTATTACTTGTTTATTAAAGTCTAGCATCATAAAGTATGTCACTGCCAGATTAAAAGAACTGACCATTAAGATTTCATAGTAAAAATTACAAATACATCTCTCCTTTTTCCTTTAAGTCAGAACCTTTTTCTATTAGTTTAGTCATGTTTCTAGTAATTAAAAGCTCAATTATCCTAATTTTTTAATACTGCTCTTCATCAAATAAAATTGCTGATTTGGATCCCCTAATATCTATAAGAAATATCTATATAACCTTTATCTGTCAAGTTATTACAGTCGTGGCTGCATAGAATTAAATAAAAACAGCCTTTATCATTCTTCAGTTAAGAAATTTTGTTATACCAGCAGCAAAATTAAAGAGTTAAAGACCTCAGATTCAGACAAAGAAATCTAAAAAATATAAATTACAAAAATCTGAATTTTAGAAATGAAAAAAACTGTATTGTCACTTAAAGAAGAATACTTTGATTTTAGGAAGTCTGCACCTGAGTAAAGACATTTAAAGACAGATAAGATTTTCATAAAAAAAAAAAACCCTGACAAACATTCATGTGCAACGGTTCCCTGTTTTGTTTACACGTGTGCAGACCTTATGTATAATTTACTGTAAACATGCTTTTTTTTCTGATTTTCCTATTTCAAATGAATCTGCAACAATTGATGGAGAAATATTTCTCAGTATTAGACAGCAAGTAACAGAAAAAAAAATAATTCATATAATTGGACAAGTGGTATCTTGTCTCAATAGCCATAGTGCTGATCATTGAGGGGAATTGGCAAGAATACTCTACAAGGGTTTAGAACAAACTATTTCATCCTCCGGTTTACATTAGCTGATGCTTTTACCAGACAATTTTTAAAAGTCAGCAGCTAAAAGAGTAAAATCTTGTAGGGTACCGATTATACCTCAGCACATCCAATATAAAAGGGATGGTGAGATCTTCCAGGAATTCATTCAGCCAAAAATGTTGTGTTTACTGACTTAAAGTAATGTGATGCAGTGCAATGCTGTAGTGACTTTTCTATTGAATCAAGTAACTTAGGGTGTGAACACGTCCAACTGTGTAGTAGGACAACTAGTGAAAATGTGATTAAAGTTTAAGGTATGGTAAATTAAATATACGCACATATAGAAAAAAAATCACAACTATTGTTCAAAATATAAGAATTTATCGATACATTTCTTAACTAAGCTAGAGAAACTTAATTAAAGCTATGTAGTTACTATGCACGCAACTAAACATGCAAAGATGCAGGTCCACCAACATAAGTAACTCCTCAAGAGGATGTCCATTTAAAAAGAAAGATCTAAAATCAGAAGATTATTCTTTCCCAGTTGTAACATTGATTTTCCCTATTAGCAGGTCAGGAAGGCAACTGAGTGAGGTGTTTGTGCAGCTTCCATCCAGGAAGGAGCTCCCTGAGTACTATGAGCTAATCAGAAAACCTGTGGACTTCAAAAAGATCAAGGTTTGTTAGCTAAGATGACCCCAAAGTTATGAAAATGAAGGTGACAAGTGTTTTTGTTTAGTCTTGGCATATGCAGCAAACTCTGTGATACCAGACAATTTCCACACAATGGATTAAATGATTACTGTGCTGATGCAAAATATATTAGGACTCATTAGAGATCAGGTTAGCAATTATTTTATATCAGCTTTTATGGATGCTTTAAGCTTTATTGATGTGAGAGAATAACAGCTTTTCTTACTGGTATCAGGAGCGAGTGAGAAACCACAAATACCGAAGTTTGGGGGACCTGGAGAAGGACGTGATGCTTCTCTGTCAGAATGCACAAACATTTAACCTGGAGGGATCCCAGGTATGCACTCACTTCTTGTTTTTTTCTTTCTTTCTTTCTTTTTAGCCTAAACTTTACAGTTTCTGATTTGATTTTAATTGATCTATCATTGTGGGCAATTTTTTCCAACAAAGTCTGCAGTTTTCCATCTCTTGAAGCAAACTTCTCTTTGAACAAGTCCTACTTTGGGAACCTTCATCTCCTTATTCTACTTTTTTCAGTGGTTTAGCTTTCTGCGGCTGAGAACCACATCTTTCTCCACTTTGACAGTTTTGTGCCTTCCTGTATGTTTGGTGAAATCAAAAGCGCTTCTCCAGCAAAAGTTATCAGTAGAATCCAACCAAGCCCCTTTTCCTGTTTGGCTTCAGTTTTTGTTGGCAAATTATTGTCAGGAAAAATGAATGCAGTTTCAAGATTGGGACATAAAGTTGAGAACCAAATTCTTCTGTTTCATTTTTAGTTTGCTGATTTTCAATGCTTTTGGATTCAATGCTTTAAACTGATACTCAATGGTTTTAAATGTTTTTCAGTATTTAATAAACAAGTGCTTAAATGAGGCTGTAATTATATATTACTGTGTTGTCGTTTTCTTCTTGATATCGACTTCTGGACCAAATGCTTCCCTTATGGCCAAGCAACTTGTTTCAATAGTACTTGGGTTTGACCAGTTTGTCACTACTTTTGATACTTTCTGATCCTTGAATTACTAATCCCACCACCCCCATCTCATATCCCATTACTCTGTCTCTGGATTGTTGGAGAAAGTTGCTCTGGGAGGACTGTTGAGGCCTCTTCTGATTTCTGTCGTCTCATTGGGCCAAATAGAGATGGAAAGCACCCTCATACATTGATGTTATCAGGATGCCTCATCACACAGGACTTGTAACTCCCAACTTTTAGGGTTCTCAATAAAAAACATTTCCCAAACAATCTAGGGGAATTTGTCAGAGAAACTCAGAGCTTTATTTTGCCTTCCAGTCTACTGGTTTCTGTTTGTGCTATAATTATTGGACGAAGAGGAAGTTCTTGCTCTTCCTCTCATCACGCTAGCACCCTGTTTACTAAAACCAGGGCTATTGGATGTCTTTAGCTTTTTTTAACAGCAGTAGAATCTCTCATCTTGAACACCATCCTGAAAACTGTGATATCTTTGATACCAGTTTCTTTACATCTTATGGCATTTTCAAAGTGAATGTCGCTTTAAGGGCAGCAGATTATTTTGCACTTAAAGGGGGAAAAAAAATTATAAAATTACTTTGAGTTGAATGTGACGTTTCCTGCTTTTGAAGTGCTTTGGTAGACATTAATATGTATCTCATTTCTTTGCACCAGCGTAATTTGGATCGTTTTTGAACCCGTTTTGGGGGATTTGTACGTTTCTATACAGGTTGCATTCATTATTTGATAACACATGGAGTAAAATTAGTTTTCTTCCACATTTTACTGTCCAAAAATTTCCGCTTCAGCCTTCTGGTTTAAAAATGATCCTTCGTTTCTAGAAATTGTTGGTTACAGCTTCTTTTCAATCATCTTTTTTCTTTAAACACCAGATATACCAGGACTCCATTGTTCTTCAGTCAGTTTTCAAGAGTGCCAGACAGAAGATTGCCAAGGACGAAGACAGTGAGGATGACAGCGATGAGGAAGATGATGATGACTATGACTCAGAGGCTGAGGGTGAGATGCACTCTTTAAAAAACAGGCAGAGAGCAAATCAACCTTGTGTCTAATTCATGTTCACAGCTGGAAGGTGAGTTCATGCTGCTCAAAGCCTCCCCAAAGAGAACACTGTGCTGCTGTGGCCATCGAACTGTAGCAGAGAAAAAATTAATAATGTGAGACAATATTAGTGGGGAAAAAATTAAAAGGATAAAAAAAGCTTGAGTAAAAAATAAAAGTTAAAGAATCTGAACTCTTCAAGATGCATAGCCAAAAAGTCAATGAAGTATTTCTTTTATTCGTCTACAGCTGAAAGGCTTTCAGTTATCTTTGAGTTATCTGATAGCTACATAGCTCGTAAAAAAGGCAGTCAAAGCAGTTACATCTCTGACATGTGCATTCAAATGTGAGTCATCGCTTTCTATCATGACTTGACATTAGTTTACACTTCAGACCACCTTTGATACATCTGATCTCTGGAAGTTTGAACTCAGCTTAGTTTCCGTTCATGTTGCATAGAAGCTGTCTGAATATATGACAGATTAATTAGATATGTCTTTTTTACTCAATCTCTCTCTTATCCTACAATTTTTAATGTAAATTTGTGTCTTCAGCTAGTATGTAATTAATTCATCAAGCTGTGTCCATTCGTGTCATTGTCTGGGCAGCGGATTTTGAAATAGACAATAAAGTACTGTGAAATTTGTCCGTAAGATTTCTTCTGAATTTGCTTTTCTATCACACATATTTCCTTTATATTGTCAAAAAATAGTAAGATCAGTTTTCCCAGAAGGGACTTCCGAGGCCAGACCCCCATATGGTTATAAATAAACAAGGATGCATGTCCCACATTGACCCAAAATATGTTGTAATAATCTATAATGCCACATGTTAAATATTCTGCAGAATGATGAGATTGAAGAAGAACCTTCTGGAAGATCTGCATTCAACTACCTCTGTCTTAAAGCTAACAGCGATTTTAGAAAATCTTTATGCTCATTAAATATACTAGTGGGAGAGAGATGTTGTGGAGATGCTTTATGGTCCAGTTCATCCACATGTTTGCTTTGGATATCTTCCTCCTCATCAGTTAAATCTTAAATTGAAGGTATTTTTCTTTATTTATGCAGGATTATTTTTAAAAGAAAAATGTTTAGTTGTCTAGAAAGTAGAAATGTGTAAGGGTGAAATTGTCATTTTACAGTCCTGTCCATTCACCTCCTTAATATGCTTTTTTATTACATAAAGTTTTAAAAGTTTGTATTTCCCTTATTTTTCTATATTTACACATGTAGCCTAGACCAGCAGACGGAAGGTAAACATCTAAAAGAAGGCGCAGACTTTCCTTACAGTGTTCCATATTTGCTGGACATTGATCTCTGACCACAGAAACTCTTTAAAATCTTCTCTGAGCATACATGGGAGCAGAAACTTTCAGCTGTTTTCATGTTAAACCTGCCTCTGTTTTTTCAGCTAAGTCTGTGCGGGTGAGGATCAAGCTGGGCAGGGAGGGACGCAGCCACGACAAAGGCAAGAAGAGGCAAAGCCGCGGAAAGGCCAAGCCGGTGGTCAGCGACGATGACAGTGACGACGACCAGGATGATAACGTACGTCTCTCACATGAACAGGGGCATAAACTGGGATGTTGTCATCCATGGTAGACCAAAATCACTGATTTTTCAGCCAAACCAAAATAACATTTATTAAAAGGGCAAAATAAATGAAATATAAATACAATAAATTAAAGGAATGGATAATTATAAAAAGGTTAAAATCGTGCTCATAATCCAGTTCACTTTCTATTGGCTTTACGTATTCCATCCCATACTGGCTGATTGTGGCTCACAGACCAGTTGAGTCTTTATGATGTTTGATCAAACCAAAATTACTTACTGGAGTCATTTTAGCCATGTCTTCTTTTATTAGACCAGGAGTAGTTCAAACTACATCATTTATAATCGTTTGTCAACACAGGAACAAAGCGTCCCCTTGTCAGGCGTGTTATATTTTAGGGCGGAGGTCTTCAACAGGGGATCCGCCACCCCTAGGTCCGCGGAGGTACTGCATGGGGTTTAATGAAAGTTTTGGTTGATTAAACTTTTTTTTTTTTATATTCCCCCCTGACATTTTTTCCACTAATGGAAATGTCTTTAAATACACATTAACATGAATTCAACAGACTGTAGTAAACTGATAAATGGAGCCAGTCATCAATGCACACATTCAGCGACACACAGGAGCTTTTTCAAGCTGGGCACCGTTTCATTCACAACACCTGTCCCATCAACCAGGAATCAGAATCAGAAATACTTAAAGTAATTACTTTTATTACATGACTCCATCTGTAATAGAGTGACTACAGGACCAGTTTGATATAACACAATTTCATACAGTATATATAATTAGGGGGTCCCCGCTCCATCTCGCAATCAGTTTGGGGGTCCTTGGCCTGGCAAACATTGAAGCCCACTGCTGTAGGCAATTGTTGGAAGGAAAAATCCCCTGAATAAATCTGGCTGTTTGATCTGGTTAAATTGTCTCTGTAAAGCGCCTTCAGATGACATGTGTTGTGAATTGGCACTTTATAAATAGACTGAATTGAAACTGAATTGAATTGAAACTGAATTGAATCTCCGGATGGGTTCAGTCTTAAAAAAAAAAAAATTCAATTGGAATATTTATTTTGCTTCTTAATGAGGAGCCAATCACAGAATATTATCAATTGTGATAAATAGATAATTGGAATAATCTTCTGGTTGTTTAGTTATAAAGTAATCTTAATCTTAGGTATAAACATGCAGATTTGTATAGGAAATATTGAGAACTGTTAACATCTCGGATTTTTTATTTTTTCCCAGCGTTTTATTGTCATTACACTGTTACAAGTACAGAGCAATGAAAGGAACTCTCTAGATTTAACCCATCCCATTTTGGGGAGCAGTGGGCTGCCATTGTGCGGTGCCCGGGGAGCAGTGTGGGTTTAAGAGTCTTGCTCAGGGACTCAGAGTGGCACTCTGTGAGAGTGGGGTTTGAACTCAGGACCTCAGAATTCCAAGCTCTATGCCCCAACAACCAGGCCGCCACTCCCCCCGCCACTAGAAAGCTGGATTTTGTTTTATTGTAAAAAAAAAAAAAAACTAAAAAACAATTTTGTATCTTCAGCTCCAGTTTATTTTACTGTTTTTAGATCGTTGCCTTTATAGAGAGAAACTGAGCAGGAGGGTTAAATCTCCTTTTACCAAAATGTAGCACACTGTCCTGCAACAATAAATACTTAAGGTGACTGAAAATTCCCAAGCAGCCTCTTATTGTTCACCTCTTGTTTATTTAAACTAATAAAACGGAAAGGCAACTTTAATGATGTACAGCCTGCATTTTAGTGTTTTTTGGATTATCTTTGCCATTTTAGCTTAAAACAAAAAAAATAACATAATAAAGCTAATTAAAATAAGAGGCAGTGTCACATTGGAAGAGGAATGAAAGGATCCTGACATTACCACTGACAGCACAAGGGATTATGGGATCAGTTGGAGGGCTCCGCCTTGATTATTTCTTTTCAAAATGACTAAGATCCATTTTTCTGCTTTGATAGGAAGCCTTTTCTGTGTTTTAGAGGAAGAGTAAAAATGAGATCTCCATACGTCTGCAGCAGACGGAAAAGACAAAACAACTTGTTTTATCTGTATGCTGATGCTGTTTTGTCCCTGCAGAGTGTTTCTGTCTTTGATGGCAGCAGTGAGATGGAGGTCTGCTGCGTTTTATTACCGAATGTCACTGCTTCGCTATAATAAGTTTTTAGTGTTGGACTCTCTGGGATGGTCTGAGGGACTGAGATGTATTGGAAGTACAAACCTTTCATTGTGTTGCCTTAACTTGTATTTTCTATCAACAATCTCCACCAGTAGCAGAAAGTTACTATAAAAACAGAAGCAAAGAAAAGCAATCAAATCTTCAGGGTTTTTTTGTTTTCAGTCACTGCTGCAAGCAAAAAAACAATGTGTCCATCCAAGGGTACTACAGCCAGATTAATAAACACCAGGTGTTCAAGGTCGACCCAGCAATGCTGTGCTGCTCGAATCCAATCCTTCTTCCTACTTCCTGGGTCTTGATTTTGATTAGCTATCCAGAATTCAAGGATTTTGTGCAGTGTTGTGTAAAGCTTTCGCCTTATACGGTTGGGATTAATCCACATCCTGCTCCACATTTTCTTTTTCCCCGACCAGACATATTTCCAGCTAAATCTGTGCCTGTTTCACTTTGAATTGCACGTTAAGTAACTCATACCCAAAACCACACCTCATTTTCATAACAAAAGCAGAACAGAGACGCTTTAATCTAAATCAAACCTCAGTATCTCCCGGAGGCGATGAGATTTCCCACGTTAGCTGTTAGCTTCTGTAACCCTGACGGCGGCAGCGTGTGTTTTGTAGTGACAGCGCTGATACCGAGCCGGCGGGCGTGTGAAGCCCTGATTCGGCTGAGCTGTTTACATTGACCTTCACTGAGTGGCCCAGAGCTCCACTAGGCTGAATATAAATGTAGAGGGTAATTTTTAGTCTGACCTTGTACATTGTGTCTCTGTCAGGGATCTACTGTGCTCTTTCCTCATTTAAGGCTTTTTCAGACTTTCCGTTTAAGGTGATCTGCGTTGCCTTTTGCTTTTTCTCCTTACAGAGAAAATAACCTTTGTCACACCCTTTTCTTTTCTGCACTTTTAATCTTTCATTCTCTTTCTGCAGGATCAGTCGGACAAGAGCAAAAGTGACGAGGACTGAGGAAGACCAGCAGCAGCAGTGTGAAGATGATGTTCGTACAAAAAGGACAATATCTTCATTTTCTATCATTAAGCTTTATTCTGTTTTCTTTGTATTTGTCCTCTCTGTCTGACTGTAGTGTGTCTCTCATCTTTTCCATCAACTTTAAAATATATTACTAATCAATCAAGTAACCACAGAAGTACCAATCAGCTTATTATGTTTTTAAGAGTTTTCTAGTATATTTTTTAAGTCTGTGCTGATATAAGGCACAATAGAAGTTCTACATAGAAAAAATGCATTTGGTCAAACTATGAATTCTTCATTATAATATTAATATCCCCATTATTACAAGGCAACTGAATACAAGTTGATGTATTAGCAACATATATATACAGATTTGTTTTGTGTTGATAGGGAATAATACAGTTATACCTTTTTTTCATTGTTCTTTTTGCATTATGATGCACAAAGTGGTAAAAATGAAAAATTAGAGATAAAGGTCCTGTATGTCCTATCAACAGCAACTTCAATGAGGCATTTGTAAAAGAAATTGGGGAAGATAAAACTGTTCTCCCAGTTTTAAGGGTTGGTGGCTTTGGAGGAAAACAACAATATTAACAATGGCAGTTTGATTGGCCCTGCTAGGAACACATTGCAGCTCCCACTGTGTGTTAAAAATGATCTAATTTGCTAACAAAGTGCATTAATTGGTGATTATTAATTTTGCTCAGTAGTCAAACCTTCAATTATTGTTGAAGTCAATATTATAAATGCATTCTCAAACAAATTATGCAGTGAAAATAGCAGGTTTTAGTTAGTTTTATTGTTCCATATTACTAAATTAAAAACTCTTTTGTTACTGCTCATTGAGCGCCTGCAGATTTTTTTTTTCACATCATCACATTGAAACTATTTAAATATCAGAAAAGGAACACCTGAGTGAATAGAGCGTTATTCCATTACGGATGGTTTTCTTTTATTAAAGGTGAATAGTTCCAATACGCTCCCACTGCTCCTGTACAGATCTTTTTTTTTTTTTTTTTGCAGGCGTAATGTAATGAGGTGTAGGAATGTTTTAACGCTGATAGAGCCAGGTGGACGACAGCATGTAATGCGTGACACACGCAGAGAATCCATTTCTCATGAGCTGAGTATTGGAGCCTAGAAATGCAGCTGCAGTAAATAGAGTAAACCTTATTTTAAAAGTCGCATGCTTGTAAAGGCATGTATGGAATAGAAGAAATATTATTTAACTTTTTAACCTGAGCAGTGCATCTTTAAGTGATGGTTATCCAAAACACCTGCATATAGAGGCAGAAACAAATCCCCCAAAAGACCTCAGGAGAAGTGGGGTAGTGTCTAAAAAAATTTTTCTGATTCCTCTGAAGGATTTATGCCTTCTCTTTTTTAGCAGAATTGTTTAATAACATCCCAGTTCCATTCAGGCTTTGACTAGCCTTCTTTAATAATTGATTTTTGCATCTGTGCTGTGGATGCTTGCAGGTAGAGGTGCGTTGATCCAATGCTTGGATCGGATATCGGCTCTGATATTAATTAGCTGGATCGGATATCAGATGAACAATGCAGCCATTTCTATTTTTATTGATATCACACACAGCAATACAGTCACAACAAATGGTCACTTATATTTAATGATTAGAACATTTATACTTTTTGAGCTATTTCGAATGCCCCATCTGGTTTTCATCCCTATAACCTAAGGGTTATTGATATCACACACTTTAATACAGTCACAGTGATTTAGTGACTTACATTTAATGATTGCAACTCTGATTATGTCATTGCACGGAGCACACACATAGCAAGCATGATGCCTTTACACACATTGCTAAGAATACTGTACGGATAATTTGCTCAGCCTGTGTATCAGTATCGGATTGGATCAGAAAAATGTATTGGTGCATCTCTACTTGCAGTAATACGACAATGAGTCATGTTATATTTCACATAGTGCCAGGTTGATCTGGATCGATTTTAATAGATCAAATCATTTCAAAGCTTTTTCGTTTTCTCTCTGGCTGTTGTTTTCAGACCCAGTGTACCATTCCAAGTGCTTCAAGTGCATTTGTTTTATAGTAATTGGAAGCAGTGATGTTATTTTGAAGTTATAATTTAGTTTCATTTGTTCCATTTTTTTTTGTTTATTATCGAAAGAAAGGTTTTCCTGAAAATTATTAGAATGCAATCCTTAAAATTTAACCATTTCCACACTTTAACACACTGTAAGAGATTCAAATCTCCAGTAACAAACACATTTCAGCTTCTTATTCAGATACTAATATAGAATTAGCCTTAAATGCTGGTATTAGCTTCTGTTTAAATTAATGTGGATTAAACAAAAGAAAGTAAAGTTATTAAAGGCTAGATGGCAGCGACAAATGCAGACCAATGTTTTGTTTTCCTGAGGAGTGACATAGACCGATGGTAAAGACCACTAAACGTTCAGTCTGATGGAATATCTGAACTAGCTTAAACATAAAAAGTCATAGAAATTCTTAGTTTTACTTCATGATCAAATATATATTTATGTATAATTGCACGCCATTTTCCAAATGATTAAGATCTTTTGTTTTTTTCTAATGAGGAGTTTTTAGATCACTGTAATGTGATTTACAGGAAGTAGCTCATTTAAATTGGTTAAAGTAGCATCTTTAAGGAAACAGGCGCTCCATAAAACAACAGATAAACAACTTCTTGCTGTTTTCTGATTATTTTTAAAGACGATGGAAATGAGAAATTTTACAAAAGAGGAAAAAAAGCAAACTTTCAATACATTCTAAACAGATTTTAAATGAACAATATATTTTTAAGTGTACCGATGTATTCATCTAGCCTATATGTCTGTGAGTTCGTTTTACTGTCTCCCTCCAGCGTTTTGTGTGTTTGTAGCATGAACTCCTGAAGAATATACCGTGCACATGCAGAGTCATCCTTACTGCGTGTGTAACGTCCCCACCAGCTCTCCAAATAAGCCGGATTTCATTTTTGCTTTCTTTGCACAGTGTCCCTGTGGTTGTAATCTCATAGCCCCGAGCAAATAAATATCAAATGATTTTCTGCGTAAAGATGTCCTCTTGTTATTATGTTTAATATTATGTGATCTTTTTGTGTGTGCATGCCAAGGTCAACACAATCTTTAAAAAGTTAAACCCCCCTCTGGCACATTTTGCTCTTATCTTCTAAAGTTGTTCTCTGCAGGTTGCCGTTAAGATGTGACTTTTGAAAGCTCTTTATCTGATGTATTTTCTTCAAAAGCCTAAATATTTGTGTCCTCTCCTGTTTGTTCATGAACTTGGCAGAAAATAAGCAAAACTGGCCTCTGAGGTCAAGAAAAATGGAAACATCTTTAGGAAGCCTGACAAAATATTGAGCAAAACATTTTTTAAATGGAGATTAAACACATATACAGTTCCATAAATGACAATGTCCTTAAAAGTTTATTCCAGTAATTAGATCCAAAAGGGTGACAGTGACATATATTTAAATTTTTTATTTTTTTTTTGCTAAAGTCCAATTGAAATCAGTTTGTTTGTAGAGCACTAATTCACCACACGTGACCTCCGTTACACCAAGCATGCTTGTAGTGACAGTGGAGAGGAAAAACACCCTTTTAACAAGAAGAAACCTCCAGCAGAACCAGGCTCGGTGTGAGCGGCCATCTGCTGAGGCTGACCGGGGTTCAAGGAGACAGAAGCAGAGATACAAAAGGAAACTGTCAACCAGCTCCACAGTTGCCCGTCCAGGAAACACACAGCCAGGTAGACCAGCTCAGAGCCTCGCTCCTACCTCACATGTCAGTGGATGAAAGAGAGCAATTACAGTTAGTCACAGTCAGAGAAACGGGACTAAACTGAATAACAGGCCAAACTCCAAAATCTATAGTAAAGCTGTGATTGACTGTGATTGTTTCACTGTATAAAATTACATGATGTTAGTGGATTTACAAATTACTTATTATTACCGTAGGATATAAAGGAGGTCTGCCAATTAAGATGGCTGTTCCAAAGGTCTCTTTATCCAACCATGTTAATAAAAAGGGGAGTGGAAGGACAAAGTGTGAAAGAAAAAGCTGCAAAAACTTATTTAACTCAATGGATGGATTGAGCCCATTCAAGAGTTTTGAAGGCTATCCAGAATCAGCACAGCAGATTTCCATTTTTACCCTGGATAGTGCTCTTACTGTTGACTTCATGAAAGGCGGAGGAGGAATAGGAGCTAGTGTTTGCTGTATTTGGACAAAAGGATGGTGTCTCTTAGTGGCTGAAGAGAAACAGAATTGGACTCTTTATTAGTCCAAAGTTTTCTTTTTTAGATTAATATAAGTTTTATACTTCTAGATTAAGAATCTCAAGTTTGTTTGGTTTTGTTCATTCTATAAAATGTTTTACTCTTTATTTTCAAGTATTTTTGATTTTCTTTGTGTTTTGAAAGACAGGGTAATATAGAAAAAAGTAAAAATATTTTCAAACAAATGGGAGCAAAAATAAAATAAAAAGTGTGTACAGTTTTTAGAGCTCTTCATGCTTCCCCATGCTGACAGGTTTTATGTAGATGCTGATTTACATTTTTTTCCCCCCTACCTTGACCTGGCTCCTAGAGTATAAAAAATACCCAACACCTGCTTTAATGAGTATCACAGTAACATTTTCCCTCAGCAGGCAAACAAACACATCAAGAGGAAGATCAGACACCTGAGTGGAGCTGACGTCTGCTGTTAGGCAACCTGGGTTTCCTGAAGAGCTCATCAGAACCACAGGCCAATCCTCTCTAGGTCTCATTTCAGGTGTGCCCTCATTTATGCAAAACCAAGTCCTGATCTCTGTTTGAGTGCAGATACCGTAAGGTCCATGGATACTCTTCTAAGTAGACTCACATTGGTGTAATATATAATTACACACCTATTGATGCCTTTTTATGATATAAGTAATGGAATGACTTTTTTTCTGGATACAAATTGGCCCAAAAAGATACTTCTGATTTTGTAATTAGTTTCATATTTTGAGATTATTGCCCTTAATAATCTACTGAAATAAGTGATATTTCTAATGAGTTTATTGTTTCCTCTGCTGTGTCTTTGCCCTTTCACTGTTCTTCACGTCTCTGCGGCTGCACTGTCCAGTCCAAACACCGGAGGGCAGAAGAAGTGCCCTCACACTCCACAGCACATCAAAACCCATCCTTTTTGTATCCCTGCCATTTTAAACAGAGCTTCACTAAGCCAATTCCCCTCAAGAATGACCATCCACCGCTCCCTTTTTATCCACCTCTTTGAAGTGCCGAGTTGTTGGTACAGACTTGAGCCCAGGAAAAGATGAGCAAATTGGATGTTAATCCTTGTTTGAGCAGCAGGGATGTCAGGTGCCAGGGCCCATTCCTGCTATTCCTCTGTAGCCTTTGTCTATGGCTTCACCATAGGGGCTCTGAACAACTCCAAGTAAAATCTGGGCTTTATTTTTCCTCCTGATGACTCATGGATTGCGATCTGAAAGGGCCAGGTGTCCTTCTGTTATTAAAGAGTCCAGTTTGCTTGGTGCTGTAACCCGTCTCCATTCAAAGGTGGGAAGCGGGCCCTATCGGTGCTAACGCTTGCACAGCTTAAAAGGAATGCTGGGAAAGGGCTTTGTATCCCTTTGGATTCCAGGGTTCACTACCAGTTTAACGCATGATCGGGGAAAATGCTTTTTCTGTTTGCAGCTCTGAGACTTTTAGATCAGAGAGAAGCTGAGGATTCGTGTACGAGCAGAGCATCATACCTGATCCTTCAACTGAAAGCCGCCTTCACACCTTGACCCAAAGTCCTACGTGATTTTTATGATGAAGCAACAAGCAGCTGTTTTTAATTGATGCACATTTGTGTTATAAAGAAACACTGGAAGGCCATCTGAAAGGCTTTTTAAGTTCAGTTCAGCACTTACTCTTTTTCATTTCATTGTAATTACCTGATTAAAACTGAAACTTCTATAAATTTAAAACCTGAACTTCTTCACCTCTGTTTAAAGCACAAAATACAAAACCTATGGGTTTTTCCATGATAAATATTTAGCAATGATATTTACTGTACTGGAAGTATGTCCAGCCCTTCTCTGGAGTTGCCCACGGTGAGAGGCGCCGGGCAGGAGTGGGCATACTTGTTGCCCCCCATCTCGGCGCCTGTACGTTGGGGTTTACCCCGGTGAACGAGAGGGTAGCCTCCCTCCGCCTACGGGTGGGGGGACGGGTTCTGACTGTTGTCTGTGCTTATGGGCCGAACAACAGTTCAGATTACCCACCCTTCTTGGAGTCCTTAGAGGGGGTACTGGAGGGTGCCCCTCCTGGGGACTCCCTTGTTCTGCTGGGAGACTTCAACGCTCACGTGGGCAATGACAGTGAGACCTGGAGGGGCGTGGTTGGGAGGAATGGCCGCCCTGATCTGAACTCGAGTGGTGTTCTGTTGTTGGACTTCTGTGCTCGTCATGGATTGTCCATAACGAACACCATGTTCAGGCATAAGGGTGTCCATATGTGCACATGGCACCAGGACACCCTAGGCCGCAGTTCGATGATCGACTTTGTCATCGTTTCATCCGACTTGCGGCCGTATGTCTTGGACACTCGGGTGAAGAGAGGTGCTGAGCTTTCCACTGACCACTACCTGGTGGTGAGTTGGCTCCGGTGGTGGGGGAGGATGCCGGTCAGACCTGGCAGGCCCAAACGTGTTGTGAGGGTCTGCTGGGAACGTCTGGCCGAGTCCCCTGTTAGGCGGAGCTTTAACTCCCATCTCCGGCAGAACTTCGAACACATCCCGGGGGAGGTGGGGGACATTGAGTCCGAGTGGACCATGTTCCGTTCCTCCATTGTCGAGGCGGCTTATCTGAGCTGCGGCCGCAAGGTTGTCGGTGCCTGTCGTGGCGGCAACCCTCGAACCCGTTGGAGGACACCTCCGGTGAGGGATGCTGTAAGGTTGAAGAAGGAGGCCTATCGGGCCTTTTTGGCCTGTGGGACTCCGGAATCAGCTGATGGGTACCGGCGGGCGAAGCGGCATGCGGCTCGGATGGTTGCTGAGGCAAAAACTCGGGTGTGGGAAGAGTTTGGAGAGGCCATGGAGAAAGACTTCCGCACGGCTCCGAAGCGATTCTGGTCCGCCATCCGGCGTCTCAGGAGGGGGAAGCGGTGCAGCACCAACACTGTTTATAGTGGGGATGGTGTGCTGCTGACCTCGACTCGGGACGTTGTGGGTCGGTGGTCGGAATACTTCGAAGACCTCCTCAATCCCACCAACATGTCTTCCATTGAGGAAGCTGGGCCTGGGGACTCTGGACTGGGCTCTCCAATCTCTGTGAGCGAGGTCGCCGAGGTGGTTAAAAAGCTCCTCGGTGGCAGGGCCCCGGGGGTGGATGAGATCCGCCCGGAGTTCCTCAAGGTCCTGGATGTTGTAGGGTTGTGTTGGCTGACGCGACTCTTCAACATTGCATGGACATCGGGGGCAGTCCCCCTGGATTGGCAGACTGGGGTGGTGGTCCCCCTATTCAAAAAGGGGGACCGGAGGGTGTGCTCCAATTAGAGGGGAGTCACACTCTTAAGCCTCCCCGGCAAGGTCTATTCGGGGGTGCTGGAGAGGAGGGTCCGTCGGATAGACGAACCTCGGATTCAGGAAGAGCAGTGTGGTTTCCGTCCTGGTCGTGGAACGCTGGACCAGCTCTATACCCTCAGCAGGGTCCTGGAGGGTGCATGGGAGTTCGCCCAACCAGTCTACATGTGCTTTGTGGACTTGGAGAAGGCGTTCGACCGTGTCCCTCGGGGGGCCCTGTGGGGGGTTCTCCGGGAGTACGAGGTGCCGGGCCCTATGATACGGGCTGTCAGGTCCCTGTATGACCGGTGTCAGAGTCTGGTCCGCATTGCCGGCAGTAAGTCGGGCTCGTTTCCGGTGAGAGTTGGACTCCGCCAGGGCTGCCCTTTGTCACCGATTCTGTTCATTACCTTCATGGACAGAATTTCTAGGTGCAGCCAAGGTGTTGAGGGGATCCGTTTTGGTGGCCTTAGGATTGCGTCTCTGCTTTTCGCAGATGATGTGGTCCTGTTGGCTTCA